CTTTTGCGTGTTGTTTTCAGCCCATAAATAATAATCAGTCTGCTAGTCTGTTAGTTGTTATGAATTCATAATGTTCTTCTTTTCACAAACTCAGAAAATTCAGCGCATTAATCAGCAGAAAGAAACGTCATAAGTGGTTGTCTATGGATATTTTGTATTTATATTGAATAAAGTCACGCCCCAAGTGAGCTCGGCACGCAGAAGACTTGTGGTTTGGTGACATAGGAGTAATTTTTATACCTTGAGAATTTGAAAGAGCATAAAAATCATAAAAATGATTTGTATAAATATTTTCAGTGACACCGAGGCAGAAGAATTGATAAACAGGTGTCTGTGCTTATCTCTGATTTGAACAGTGGTAGGTGGTCTTAAATGAGAAGACATACATATCGTCATATAAATGTAAACAGAACAACAAAACAAAGAAGTAAAAAATTCAGATGAATGTTGCACAGTGGATTAATTATTTTAAATATAACCTTCGTGTTGAAAAACAATATTCAATACGATAATAAGAAAAAGAGAATCATATTACATACTGAGACGCAGATCTTAAAATAATTTAAATTTTTTCGGCACAATTACAAAAACTATATGTTTCAAAGTAATATTTATGTATTTTTCAGCATATTGGTTTGGACATGCGTAAAATGGCTAAAGCTAAACGCATACTGTAGATTCCTTATTTTACGCGAGTACTTAATATCGCGAAATGGCTCTTTGCTGTCAAATCGCGAGAACAATAATTCGCGAGTGGCCGGTTGATAAAGAGATTTCACATGGATTTCAGACCCATAAAAATAAAAGCGAGTAATTTTATTTCGCGAGTGGTGCTTCTCGCGTAATTACGCGATAATTAATTCCTTGCATATATATAGGAATCTACAGTATTTAAAGACAATTTTTACATCACTGGTTACTTTAAGTAAAGAAGATAAATAATTCTTGCAATAAAAATTATTTCATGCATCGATATAGAATTGAAGATGAAAGCACACATATAACTGTATAGATGACTTTTTAATTAATAATTGAAATAATGATGCCTCTTAATTTGAATTGAAAGTTATAAAATCCAAAGATTATTTTTTTTCTATTACATATATTCCTTTCTTAAATGTCATTAGCAAAAATATATTTTGTATAAAAGGATAGAAAAAGCTATAAAAAGGCCAGCATTTAAACGATGAGTTCGAAAACTACTAAAAGTACTAGATTAAGATTGGATTATCCTTTAACTGTAGAATTTCAAATTAATAGTAATACTACATGTATATTGTATGAATAAACTATCATTATGCACAAGGGCATTTATTTCAGACCCATTTTCATATATCTGTTAAGTCTAAATTTTATTTCCTGGAAATTTCATTATCTCTTTTTACGATATTGGTTTATTTCTCATACTTATATTTTGTGTCCTTTGAAATTATATGAGATTGTTAATAATACTTTTGAGAATTTAAAACATACAATTAAACGTCACAAAGCCGGTAATACAAGCTGTTCTACAGAATTTTTATTCATTAAATTAGGATACGAGATAATATTTTCAGTAATGAGTTTAGAGGGTTATATATATGTGCTATCAAAATTCTTCTCGCATTAATATAAAAAAATATATTTTATCACAAATTAAGGCAAAGGGCGAAGAAATTTTTTACACAGAGTGTTTCCATATTTGTGAAATAAATTTTGGGTTTATAATTAAAACTCAGTGGATATGAAGACCCTTCATCTTGTTGAGGCAAACAATGTACATTCAAAGGCTTGAAATTGTCTAGCTATTTAAAAAAAAATTGTCATGATCAGTGCGGCTAGGCTGCCAACGTCTCTTGATGCTTTTTTAAAAATCAATATGATCTGTAATTCCAAGAAATTTATTTTGCTCTAAAAGGTATTGTTATCATAATGGTGATTTGGCAAGTAATTTTAACCTTTATGATACATGGGACTAAAACAAAGTTAATACATGTATTTAATCTGATGAGTAGAAACATTTGTATACTCTTGGATATACATGTATTTAAAAGACAATAATCAATTAAAACTTTCAAATAATTTTTTCCATATCAAATGTGAACAAATAAAGTTCATAGTCTTCATTTTTCATCGCAATAGTAAATTACATTAATTTTTTAAATAAAAATTCAAACATGAAATTTGTAGCTCGCATTGGGGTACATACACTTCCATTTTTCATTTAATAAGGAAAAGAAAAGAAATAGAATATTTCATTTATAATATCATAAAATAATTAACCCGGTCTGGAAAGCGTAACCTTTCTAATACAACAGGTTGAATAAATTATTACATATTTCTAAAATTGACATCACAGAGCTTGATGCATCAAAACAAATTATATTCTTCCTGGTAAATGATTATTCTTTCATCGTTCATTCAAACCGTGATGGTAGCCCAGTCGGTGGAGTGCTAGCTACGTGATAGGAAGGTCGTGGGTTCAAACGCCGGCCGCGATTGACCTAAGTCGATAAAAAATAGGTAGCAACTGTTCCTTCGCCAAGTGCTCGGCACTTTGAAGTGAAATTTCCGGTCTTTCGGATGAGACCCTAAAATTCGAGGCCCCGTGTCACAGCGGGTGTTGGCACGATAAGGATCCCTCAGTGCTCAATGGCCCTAAGTGCCGAGTAAAGTCTAAATTTGAAACCCTTCACCTGTATAAAATGACACCTCTATATGAGTGAAAAATTCTCGAATGGGACGTAACACAACACACAATCAATCAATCAACTGTTCATTTAGCAAAAGGTGTCTTCGGATTTCTGATCATAAACTGACTCTTTTGGACAATTAAACTGTCCAATGAAAGTAACCTACATGTATTATGGCTAGTATTATTATGGAGGTGATAATAATAATAATTATTATTATTATGGCTAATAATAATAATTATTATTATGGCTATTTTCATTCTTATGTCGATACGATATATCCTGGTGAACTTGAGATAAAAGATACCTCAGAGTCTGACACATCTGTTTCATATTTGGATATTTTACTTGAAAAAGACGTTAATGGTAATCTAACAACCAAGCTTTATGATAAACGTGATAACTTTAACTTTTCAATCGTCAACTTCCCTTACTTATGCAGCAATATACCTTCATCACCTGCATACGGGGTATATATCTCTCAGTTGATTCGATACGCAAGAGCATGCTCTACGTATGTACAATTTCTAAAACGAGGTAAATTATTGACAAATAAGTTGATGAAACAAGAATATAAGCTGTCTCGTTTAAAGTCATCATTTCGTAAGTTCTATGGTCGATACAATGACCTTGTCAGCAAATACAATTTATCATTAAGACAAATGCTGACTGACGTTTTTCATACTAATTGTTAGGCCATTATTTACACACTGAATTGTCGACGGATTTTTCCGTTATTTCCCGATCATGACAAGGAGCACACGGCGGGTGTGACCGGTGCTCACTCCTCCATGGCACCTGATCCCACCTCTGATGTTTGGAGGTCCGTGTTTGTTCTGCTCCTATTTTGTATTGTTGTATTATTTTGTATTGTATAATGAGCTTGAATACTGTTCGTTATCTCCATATATTTCATGTACTAGACATACATGTACTTACATTTTATTCGTTCTAAAACTGGGTTAAAATCCAAATGAGAGGCTTTCAAGTTCAATGCGTGTACATAAGAGTAAAAATTCACAGTTTTCTAATGTAACCATGTGCATTGTAGCTCATACAAGGTCTGGTGAATAGAATATCAAAGTCTATAGACTTTGCTAGCTGCAACCATTTTCAAGGTGACAACTTGAAGTTGTAACTTGCGTTCGAAACTTTTGTTTATTTATACATATAAGAAGAAAATAGCTTTTGATGGTTCACAAAAAGTACAACATGCTTCAATAACACACACACACACACAAAATTTCAGAAGTCATAATAGTGAGCCGCAATAAAACATGAATTTCTCAAAAGTATATACATGCTTTTTCTAAATTAATTTCTGAAGCTTTACAGTTTGTTTAGAGAATTTTTCGAAGGTAATTGTACCAAATATTAGGCAACTATCATGTCGCAATTTCTTGTATGTTTAGAAATGAAATACTATAGGCTAGCACATAATTTACAAATAATAGTTATCAGGAAAAGTGCAAAATACTACCGATATTTCGCAGTTGAAGGACTCTTTCAAAATATTTTAAACATTTCGAAAGAAAATGCTGAACGAATTTTACAAACGTTTGATTTTTTTCACTTTCATGTAATATAAAACAGCAATGCAATATTAAATCCCATAGCGTTACGTGTGTCTTTCATACACGCATTTGAAACGACACATGTACTTTATGTGCCTGTTAATTGCAAATTCAAAATGTTAAGGTACTAAGATGTCAAACATATAAACCATCCAGCAGAAAGAGAGTTGAGTTATACAGATATCGTCGCTAGCGAAGTGTTTCTGGCCCCCTCTCCTCGGTTCTGATCTACTCAACTTTAGTGTAGCTCAAATCAGAAACTCTTTGCTATCGAAGATGGGAAGAATGTTAATATCATCATAGCGGTTGATTATTTTTGTATTTCATTGTGTCTGATCAAAAGCCACAATGAAATATATTGAGATGAAATATGAAAGAAGTGTGTTCGTTTTTTCGTTAATACAGTTACAATGTGAGAGAGAGAGAGAGAGAGAGAGAGAGAGAGAGAGAGAGAGAGAGAGAAGTTATACATCTACGCACACCCATCCACCCCATATATATATATATATATATATATATATATATATATATATATATATATATATATATATATATATATATATATATGAAACTTAACTTTACATCATATATTTAATGCCTTCTAATATAAATATTGACCACGTTTGGCTTAGTGAACCAGACCAATAGGATTGTGCAAATCTGTTACCGCATCTAAAACCTGTTGCCCTTCACTCAATATAGACAACAACCCCACTGTATAATTTATAAGATACAGGAAAGGTTCCTGAACTTTCTTTGGACGTTTGAATTAGATATTTTTATTTAAAAGGATTAAGGAGGAGGAAGGTACAGAATGATGGTCTGTTAAAAATGTTTTTTGTCTGAAGAACTAGTGCCTTTGTGTGTTTTGCTATGGATATACCATCTTCAGAGTCGCATAATATGCAGGGGTTTGGAGCATCCGTGTATGCAGAAGGGGCTAATTTCCATGGCATTGTTTACACAGGTTACAACGAATTCCATCATTCAGCAATTGACGCTAGTCGACAACCAGACGTTGTTTCGCAATACCAGTACTTTGGGTATCCAACATTACCACAGAATGAGATAGAAAATGGGACCTACTGGCCAAGTGGGGACATCGGTATTCATCCTGGGATACAAGCCTATCCTGTTGCCTATACAAACCATTCTGACTCAGCACAAGGTATTGACTACAGCAATATGTCCAACGGGGGTCAACAAGTCATAGGAAAAAATGGGAAGCCAAAAAGAAAACGAGTCCAGTCTGTTGCCCAACGGAGAGCTGCTAACGTTCGCGAAAGACGGAGGATGTTTCATTTAAACGAAGCTTTTGACGAATTGCGCAAACGTCTTCCTGCTTTTAACTATGAGAAGAGGTTATCTAGGATAGAAACCCTTAGACTGGCTATGACATATATCTCTTTTATGAAAAGTGTTTCAGAAGGTCAAGACCCTCAGAAGATAAAGCTAAGGCCCTGTAAAACCGAGGAAAGCGAGGCATATAATTCCATGCACAGAGAGGGCAGCAGTCCTTATTACAGTAACGAATCTTTAGATGACTGATACAATATTTGGATGCCGGAATATAAGATTTCAATGTAAGAATCCCATTATAAAAAACTGTGAAATGAAAATATTTTAAAAATCTACAGAAAAAATTTGACATGCTTAAAAATCATCAGGTAATGAGGCCCATGAAATTCTATCTCATCACCACTGTCTTGAACATGTGGACCAAACTCAACACACATTTACGTAGTAGTGCAAGTTAAAAGAACAAATATAAAAACATTCTAAAAAGTGGGTATTATTCTTTATGACATCTTCCTTGAACTTTAACTGTAAAACATAACAAATTAAAAAAAAAAAAAAAACAACAAACAAATAATGTATTACTCATTCATTTACATGTACTTCCATTAACATTAACAGAGTAAGAGGAGTGAAAGTGCTTTTATTTTTTGAATTTTAAAAAGTTCAACAAAATCATCCATGTCTTCCAACTGTATGATAGCTTTATCTGTTGTTCGACATTTCTAAGAAAATAAAAAAAAACATGTGTTGCTTTAACTTTTTGTTCTTTATTTCGAAGTCTTTAAACATACCAAATACATATATATAAACCAAAATAAAACTACATGAACATATATAATGTTAATTGTTTTAAAATCATTACTTTTTTTTGGGGGGGGGGGGGGGTAAAATTAAGCTCGAATTGATAAATTCCATCTTTTTATTTCACAAATAAAAGAATGGATATAATGATCTAATCATTTCTGACTCATTTTTTTTTTGGGGGGGGGGGGGGGGGGATACAGGTACAATAAAGAATAACGATGAAATATTCTGTTCTAATAATTATGATTGATTTTATTTCCTTTTAAATCTTTTTTAAAACATTTAATCTAAAACACATAAGTATAAATTATAATGAGTTTTGATAAAAGCTTAAAATATCTGTTCTTGCAAAATTTTACTCATTCATCTCTATTAACAAGAAATTCCTGGTAAATGAAAATCGGAAATGAAACTGAGTGAACATGTGCATCTTATCTATATTTGACTTCGAGTTCTAAATATCATTGTGGATGTCTATGTAAGCATCCGACTTTGAAGTTTAAACATTAATATTTACTTGACTGACATCTTATTTAAGGATATTTTTAAATCTAAATGAGAAAAAAAAAAGAATAAAAAGAGGAAACCGTTTTTATAAAGCTACTACTTTTGATATTAGACATAATAGACAAAAAATCCCGAAACGCTTTAAAATAACCGACTAACAGAACTGATATATTTAATCGTAAAATTAAAAATATTATTAAAACTTAATATAAAAAAGAAGGAAAGATGATAATGTCTAACTTTATTTTGTCATTCAAAGAAACATTTGTATGTCAAACAAAGAGAAAGAAAAAGACCAGGTTTATTAGTTGATATGTACGGTGTATAAGAATGAATATGAATATCTATATATACAATAAAATATTTGGAAAGGGATCATTATGGTCAATAATTGGTCTGGATGTTAAAAGAAACAGATAACAGAGATAAATTATATCAAAGATAAGGAATTATTCGAATACAAGCATGTTTTTCTTGCCAGGGAATTTTAAATATTGTATCCTTTTTTTGCTAACAAATCGTAGATCTTAGGGATATGTTAGCTTATTTTACGATTGACTAAAGACTTGAATATTTCTTTCTTAAATAATCCTTATTTGGATTGTTTTAAACTGCTTTTAATCAAATGAAAGTAATCAAAATGAAATTCAACATTCTGTGTTCTTTTTTTCAAACTTTGGTAAAAATAAACATAATTTCTCTAAGTTTTATGTATATATTGTTAGATAAACCAAACGATAAAAAAATGAAATATTATATTTCAAGCTACAATTATTTCGCAATTGATTTTATTCAAAACGTTTTCTTTCGTCAATGGTGAGTCTAGGTAACATTTGGTGGAATATTGATTAAAGTATTTCAGCGGGGTAACATATTGTGATGTATTTATCATCTCTGCTTCATTTTGAGTCAGACAGAAATTTATTACCTGTGTTTCAGACTGTTTTCGGGTTAAATAAATAATACTGATAAATACGCATTCGTTATTTTAATCCTTGCATCTTTTATTTAAATATGATTAAATGACAAAATAAAAATTATATTTCTATTGCTTCAACAAAATGATTGTAACAATTTATACTGGAATTTATAAGGTATGCATAGGCTCCAATCTTATCCCCCCCCCCCCCCAAAAAAAAACTTTCTCACATTTTCTACAGTAGTTTAAAATATGCCGCAATTAAAATGTTAAAAACACACGACAACACTCCGATAGCAAAGTATTTTGTAAAAATAACATTTCAATTAGGAATCATCTGCCAAGTAAGCAGACATCTAAATGAATCTCAAATATTGGACCTGCTTTCCGACACAATAGGGTTCAATTCTGCAATTCGGCTTTGGCTAGCTTTTTTTCATCAATCTTATATGCGTTATTTTCTAATTTATCTTTTTGTTGTATTTTTAGTGAAAAAATCGACAGTAGGGTTTAATTATGCAAATAATTTGTATTAATGCAAGAGATATGCAAATTATGAAAGTGTGCTAAAAATGTCAAATATTTAATGTTTCCTATGACAACATCTTCAAAATTGCATGCTTTAATATTATTTTTAGCAAAACAACTTATATCTCTACAAGAATCAAATCGAAGTTTAGCTGAAATGCCCCCACGGTCGTAAATTTAATCTGAAGGAATCTAATGTTGTTAAGTTCAAATCACGATGTCACTGAAGTTATGGTAATCCTGGTAAAGTTTAATTATACAAGTAGTATCTAATGAATAATTATGATACTAGTAATATAAAAAGCCAAACATGATGCAATAAAAGACGAGTTTTTTTTATTCTCGGCTTTTAACTTAATCAGCTAGAAGGCATAAACGTTCGAGTTATCAGAAAGATCAATCAATTTTTTTCAACTAGGCTGTAATTATCCATCTTTTGATTTTCAAGCTGTGTTTAACATGTTTAAAATGTAAATTTTGAATTAAACTAACTTTTAAATTACTGTATTTTTTTCTCTCAATTAAAATTGGAGCTAAATTTAATTGGAGATTTTGCTACACTGCAACATTTGGGATAGTATTGAGCCGAGGTTCCTTTATAACTCCCAGATGGTGCAACGTACATCTCGGGACAAGGAAAATTAAATTGCAACACGTGTTCATAACGGCTACCTCTCTCTCTCTCTCTCTCTCTCTCTGGGTTTCCACAACATTAAATACTTTAACACTATGGGTATTAATTGCAAGTAGTTTACAAAGCTGGTAATATTGACAGCGTAAAATTTATTTTTAAACTGTTTCATTTCTTTATTATATAGGGACAATAGACAATGGATTACGAATAATATTTCTTTAATTTCTGTTACATGAGGAAATATGAAACGAATGGGAAAATAAAACAGAAAAATTGATAACAGTAAAGAACAAAAATATAAGATTAAATGCAAAGTAAAACAGTGCCCTGCAAAAATTCATCTATTTGAAATAACATTTAATGGCAATAAAAATGAAGAAAAACTTACTAGGGACTTGTACATGACTGTATTATTTTTTATCGTTACTTTTCTTTAACATCTAAGACAATGTATTGAATCATTTGAAGAAACTGAATTTGAAAAGTGTATCGTATATAGTCAACTTTTCATAACCACATAGCATCTAATACTAAAGAAACATTGAGGGAACAAGATATAGCTAATGTTCATAACCTCGAATTTATCCCATTAAGACCCGATTTTTTGAAATTCGAGTTTAATGCAATGTTTTATTATATATAATATTTTACGTAGGGGATAAAATTATGCTAAACATTAAATTTCTTACAGAAATTTTTGTCTGCATAATTTTTTCTTTGGTAAATAAAGGAAAATGCGTATTTTATGAGCCAAGGTGGCACAGAAGGAATCTTGACCTCAATAACTCCTCTATGATACAGAGCATCCTGTAAGCAATAAATTTCATAAAAAATAGTTCTTTTAAATCAATCTTTGTGATATGAATTTTAATTTCAAACAGAACTGTTTTACCTTAAAATGTGTACTTAAGTCTTTTATTATGTCGCGGGCCATTCCTTCATGATTTTATGAATCAAAATTACAATTTTTCATTTTATATTCAGCGTATATTATCATGTTTTAAAAAATGAGCATGGGTCTACTCAATGGGGAAAAATCTTTTAAATAACTGTTTGTCAATCTTGCTTATTTGTGTATTTTGTAAGAACTGCGAACGATAGCATTGTTCTCCCGCCTACCTCCAAGTCAATTTTCAAAAGTTAAGATATTCGAATGATTTTTAATATTTATATTGATATTTATCTGGATTTTCATAAAACATTACTTCTTTGGGAAAACAACGAGAGATAACTCTAAAATTTTGGTAAAACTCGTGTTTTTCACTATAGAAATCAATGGAAACGGAAAAAATATTTTGAAAACATCCCCCCCCCCCCGTGAAACAAAAATTCCTTTTTACGGGTAATATGGACTGTCATTTCAAAAATTCATACCAAAGCTTTTTGTGTTTCACGGGGGGGGGGGGGGGGGGGGACATATGTTTATATACAAAAAACGACAAAAATGCTTATTTTTTCAGCAATTTCCAAGTGATTTACAACTGAAACATTATATTTAACTAATATATATGCTTAATTTCATATGCATAAAACATAAGAAAAGATTTAAGAAACATTTATTCATATCCAAGACTATTTCAGAATTTGGTGATGCTGTATAGCCCGATTTCAGTGGAAAATATCGTCTACTCCCCTTATTTCAAGAGCTGGAATTAGGGATATTTTACTATTTAGCACTGGAATTAAAATAATTAATCAATTACCATTGAACTGTTCTTTGTATTAAACAAAGATTTTATGGCCATATTGTCATCAATATTGAATTAAATGGTTGTAAAATGTAGGCGGGAATCGGGAGTTACCGTGCTTAGTTCTTTCATAGTGAATTCTTTTGGTACTATCAGTTTATAAGTAGCCTATGTTTCTAGATACGCTGAGTATACATGTTCTACATTGTACATGTTTTCATTTGTTTTTAAATGACTTTCTTTAAACATTCAGCTCATTTTTATTTTAACCTTAAATGCCTTTGTGAACTAATTAAATGCATATTTTGGAAATAAATACACAGCTACTATAAACAATGCTCCCCCCCCCCCCCCCCAAAAAAAAAGACATGATAAATTTCGCAATTTCATCATAGATTTCACATTTGTGATTTGTATTTTCTTCTATAGTATTGAGTTGGTTCCCTTTTTGCAGGAATAATAGCTTAAATGTCACTAGGTTTGCTATGAATTGACTTTTATCAGAACATTTTTGACATTGAGTAAAATTCCCCAAAAGTGTCATGTCTTTTTTTAAGCCGTTAGCCCTCTTTTTCCAACTTGAATTTCACCTTTAATGTTTTCGATTAAGTCTCAGTCGGGATTATTCCCGACTGCCTTTGCGTAGAAAGTGCAATAATTGCATTTTAGAAACTCTCTCTCCTTCCTGCTTAACAACAGATTCTGAAAGAGTATCATGTTAGTACCAAGTGTGCTTTTAAGTATTTCCCAGAAAATGATTTGTATGTGTTTCAGTGTTCCCAAAAACTAATGTCAATTTTCTCGAGATATTCTTCTTTTTTTTAAGAAAAAAGATTTTAATACAAAAATATATATAGTTTGAAATCAATTTTTTATCAAATGGCAATACTTTGTACTTTCTAACGTTATGTACATTTTTTATGAACAACTAGTAAGTAAATCGTTTACTTTTTATACCTCCTGCCAATAGCTAATGCTCAAAATGAAAAAAAAGAAAGCCTGTTGTAGATGTACATTATCAAATCATTGTAAAACTAGTCATGCTTCTGAAAACACTGTGTATTCTACAGTCTACTTTTGTTTCACATGGGACTAAGAATTGAAAATGGGGAAGAATTTAGCAGAGGGAAAGAGCGGTAGGATAAGGAAAAATAATTCCATTTTTCTATACTTAGATTAGTTCATGAATACTAGGTAAATATACAAGCCCTCTTAGATCTGTAAATGTTACTTTACTAGGCCTATCAACTCTTTTCCTTAACTGAATTCCTCTTCTTTTTTAATATTTTGTATCGCTCAATATAAGTAAACTGTGAAATACTTGGTGTTTCTGAAATATCACCAGGTTTAACAATTATCCCTTACTGATACATATATCATATATGCTTTTTATTTTCAAAAGCGGGAATTTTGAACAACAGCAGTTAATATCAATTATATAAAGTAAAAAAAAAAGGTTATTCATAAAAACTGCATGCATCATAAAAAATAAGGGGTATTGTATTTAAATAAAATAGTAACTTTAAATTTTATATTATGAGTCTCAATAATTTCTGGGAACACTATGTTTAGCAGAATGCAATCAGTTGAGAGAGCACAAGAGGTTCTCAGACGAAATGCAGTTATCTTGCTGTTCCACCTTTCCATGTATCTGCTTCTCTGCAACAAATCATACCGCCTTTCTCCGAATGTTTAATTTTTTTCTTGTTTTTTTTCTATCGATTTTTGTTTTATTTGTTAATTCATTCCTTAAGCCACATGGCTTATCAGATTACATAATCATTAGACAATTACAAAATAAAGGATATATAAAACAAAAGGAATGAACGTATATTATGCACATAAAAATATTTTACATACATTTGGTTTTGTCATTGACTTTTAAAGGGACCTTCTCCATTAGCTAGGAACTACCTGATCAGAGAACAGGTATGTTCTTTGACCGAATATTTCTGAAATTGATAATATAAGCAAAAACAAATAAACAAAACTGAAAAACAAAATCAAAACATTCTCGATCAGATTTTCTAAGGAAATGCGATACATTAAGACAGTGCAAATATACATGGGCATTTGCTTGTATCTATCAGTCAACATCCAAAAAACCCATAAATATGATGAGCTTATTAAAGTTACAGAAAATTAAATCCAATTCATAAAGGTAACATTCCTTTGCTGAAAAGCACTGTCAAGTACAAAAAAATATACAAAACGTTTTGAAAAAAAACTGCAGAAAATTAGGACGGCTGTTTGGCTTATGCATAGCCTTGGTTGAAAAAAAGGGGGGGGGGGCAAATGCCTTCCAAGTAGTTAATTCAATTAATCTTTACTAAACTTGTGCTTTGCTTATTGAATGTTTATGTTTCAAAAGCTGCACATTCTTTTCAGATTTTCTTTGAATTTCAACTATGGTTTCAGCTATGTTTTAATAAGCTATTCAAGTTAACCCAGAAAAAGTTTTGATTTTATGATAAAACTACACTTTCAGATAATAATCCTCACTAAAAAAATAAATATCTTAATTTAAAATTATTTCAAAATCTAAACATTTTTGTGTAATTTTAGTATTTAAACTGTTTTATTTTGATGGCTTTATGTGTTTATTCTTACGGAGACTTGACAGAACTTTATATATCAAACAAAACGTATTAGAACTTTCCTGTATGAGAGTCCGCTTGGTTTTTTTTTCCTTCATATTAAAATTAGCAGCTGATCCTAATTAAGGACTTGGTGTAGGGTACGTTTACATGAGGACTCCATAAGGTGGCGTCTTGGGGGGCTTTGGAGACCCAGTTGTATCCGGGGAGGGGTGTGGGGATCCACCACGTCCCAAACATGAGGGTTCTTGACATTGATTTTCAGCAGTTCCGCAGCCTCAACGTGACCTTACAGTAATAGATGACATACAGCAATAGATTACGTACAGTAATAGATGACATTGTATGTAATGTAATCATTGCAAAAAATAAGATGTATGAAATATGAAGATAATGAACAGTAATCAAGCTCAGAAGTCCATTAGAACAATACGAATTGGGAGCAGAGCAAACATGGACCTCTTAAAACATAAGAGATGGAATCAGGTGCCATGGAAGAGTAAGCATTCCCTGTCTATCGGTCACACCCGAAGTATGCTACTTGTCATGATCGGGCAAACGGAAAAATCCGTAAACAATTCAGCGTGAAAATAATGGTCTAACAATTTGTGCGGAAAACGCGTCATCATTTGACTTAACGATAGATTATATTTGCTGACAAGGACATTGTATCGAACATAGAATTTGCCAAATGTTGACTTAAACAAGACTGTTGATAACCTCGTTTCATCAACTATTTAGTCAATAGCTTGTCTTGTTTTAGAAATTGTTCGTATGCCCTTTGCCTATCAAATCAACTGGGAGACATAAAATTCATAAGCAGGTGATACACCTGTAATGGTATATCGCTACATAAATAATGAAAGTTGACGATAGGAAAGTTGAAGTCATCACGTTCATCATAAAGTTTTATTGTTAGTTTACCATTAACGTTTTTCTTGTAAAATATCCAGATATGAAACAGATGTATCAGACTCTGTGGTACGTGTCTTGAAAGTTCAAACTTCAAGTTCAAAGGTATAATCATATCGAATCAACGTAGAAAATGAATATTGTTAATTGGTAAAACATCGTACATGTATATATTAACCAACTTGCACAGGTCATATTTTTTCTGCAATATCGCAACTGTTATCCCTGTATTAACAAAGAAAGTATTTTATTGTTTGAAGCTTCACACTATGTGAAATGAAATTCAATCATATTCTTATCTGATAAGAGTTTTCCGATTCTATATATTAAACAGTTGTAATTTCCTAATTACGGCGATGCATATATATCTGAAATCATGCAGGATACTATAATATTTCAGATACATATTATGTAATACCGGGTAACCCACTAAGACAACTGCACTGTGCAGGTAAGTACAAAGTACTGGGACGTTCTCTTCCTATCGTTATAAAGGAAATAAAGTGTATTCTATCCTACCTGCTGTTATAGCGCTGTCAATAGGGTAGATTCCAGATTTACTGCAGAGGTAAGGATCAGCACCTGGAGATAATAATAAAAACTGTTTAATCAATCCTGTCTACTTAAAATGTACTTAAGAATTAAAATAATTTTGAAGGTATCTTCTAAAACTTACCATGTTTGAGGAGAGTTTTGATGACCGGCATATTCCCCTTGCTGGCCGCGCGATGTAAAGGGGTGTAACCCTTCTGATTTTGTTTATTCACATCACATCCTGATCATACCAAAAAATAGAATAAACTTATAAATTAAAAAATTAAATAAATCTACAAAAGAACTGTTTCGATATTATTCACCGTGCGCAGATTTAATAAACTATGATAGCAGACCTCAAGTAAGTATTTCACGTGAACATGAAACAAGATATTTTCCTAAAGCAAAGTAGTGACACGTATTACACTAAAACAGAGATCGTGGAGACCTATATTACATAGTATGTCACATCAAGCATCCAATTTTTACTACATAATATTTTGTATTTATAATATTATCAACCTACATGAATTAGCAACTTCGAAAAAAGGTTCAATTTGACGCTTGGTACCAGTGACTGTTTTATAGACTGGATACATGTAGTTGAATGTACCTGACTGGATCAAATCGGAGAGTATTTCTAGTTCTTTTTGGGGAGAGTTTAGGACACCATAAGTAGCTAAATAGAGCGAACTGTCCCCTGATGATGTCGTCACGTTGACATTTGCTCCTAAAAATAACATTTTTTTTATCATAAACAGTCAGAACTAACTTAATCTTATTTGGGTTTTTTTTTGTTTTTGTTTTTGTTTTTTGAGAAAAAAAAACTTATAATAAAAAAATACAAAGGAAATTTTTAAAATCTTTGACTTTAATTTTACCTCTTTCCAGCATGTACAAAATCAAATTTCTTCTCCCACTAAGACAAGCGCACTGTAACAAATGCGACAGGACCGATGAAGATAAAATTCATATTTATAAAGTAGCGTACGTTAGATATACATGTAAACAGATACTATATTCTGACTATAAGAAAAGACAAATGAAGTATCAATATTCACTGACCAGAAATAAGGAGAGCCCGTTAGTTGGCATTACGTAGTTGATATCATATCCGTACTGCTCCACCAATTTGACAACAGCCTCTGTATGACCGGGCTCATACGCAGTCTGTTTAGAAAGAAAATCTTTCTTTTTTTAAATAACTTAATTACTGTATATATGCAAGAATTTTAATTCTTGAAATGCTTTCCTAAGGTGAATGATTATTTGTTAATCATATTTTTCTGAATAAAGAAACGTACTGCCAATCCTAATAAATTTTTGTCAGTAAAATTTGTCAAACTGACAGTTTTCAAAAACTCTCGTTAGAACATCATTTGACGGAAAAGTCTTTTAAAAATTATCCACTTTTGCCCGGTATTTTTTTAAAAAGACTTCTCCGTCAAATGATGTTCTAGCGAGAGTTTTTGAAAACTGCCGATTGTTGATCTTACAGTCGCGACAATCGCAATTAGCTTTCATTTTTATCTACATGTACTTTAAAAGTGATGAGTGTGACTCTGGAAGGGATGGGGGTGTTTTCCATTTTGCCTGCACTACGATATCAAGTGCAAATGACAATGTTAGTTATAATATTGTCATATTATCGCTAAAAGAAATGGAAGATAAGGTAGCGTAAATACTTTGAACCTTAATGATAGACCAGCCTTTTGTGTTTGTAATAATGAATACATGTTGAGATGCAGAGGTTAGCAGGGAAGCATTACAGCTTTGCAAAGGTGCTATATTTACACCCAGTAAAAAAGTAAATTCAATATGTGAAATGTCTCTCTCTCTCTCTCTCTCTCTCTCTCTCTCTCTGAATGATATGTTTAAGTTTATCAGAAAATAAAAGGAATTCTATTTGAGACATTCTTTTAGATAAACAGATGTGATTTACCTTTGCTAAATCGAACACATTCCAGTCGTACATGGACTTTGAACCAGCAGGAGGGAAAATGTGAGCACGACGATATTTGGACACTGTTAAAATAAAAATGCTATTTTTTCATATTAATTTGAAGGAAAAGATCATTAATAATAAAAATAATAATTTAATCATAGTTAAACTGCAAATTCAAACTATGAAATGGCACTGCCGGTAGAAAGTATATATAAAAACAAAATCATAAATGTTTTTACATGCATATTTAAAAAAAAAATATTTCTCTTCCAAGTAGTTTGAAATTTGGAATTAACCTCTCACGCATGTCACCAAACAAGTAAATAACGAAATTGTGCAAAAAATCAGGATGAGTTTAGTTTCCAGCTCTAGTGTAGGCAGGAATTGTGAAATGTGGTCCAAAGTTTTGGCGACAAACTCCATAATCCCATTGACTGCTTCACTTCCGCTACGGTGGAGTAACAAAGCATAATGAACAGCTAGAGAGAAGATGTACTGTTTGTCCAAAATCAGCCTTGTCCAATCAGATTCTGCATATAAAATCAAATTTACATTTAACATATGAATATAAGGCAATTAGATATTTTTTTCAGATGAGACATATTTTTAGGAGGATAGGAGGTGGGAGATAGGAGGGGTTTAAAAAGAAATTTAATTATCATCAACACAGGACTAGGAAAACAGTTTTTGCGATGACTTCCAGGGGTGGGAGTCATCGCACTATTTGTCAAATTCTAAAACAAAAGCAAAACAAGAGGCCCATGAGCCACAACGCTCACCTGTGTTGCTTTAGCCCTGCTGCTATTCACCAGATTCCCCATTGTAATACTTATTGTGGCCCCACCCTACCCCGAGGTGTCATGATTTGAACAATTTAGAATCTACTGTGACAACCCTCAGGATGCTTCAAATTAAGTTTCAGCTTTTCTGGCAAAGTGGTTTTTGAGAAGAAGATTTTCAAAAAAATTTCCTATATATTTCAATGTCAAACTTTGATTCCTTATTGACTTGTGGCCCACCCTACTCCCTAGGGCCATGAATCAATTTAAAAATTTAGAATATACACCATCGTCAGTAACCCACGGGTGATTCATATCGGTTCTCTGTTTGAGGTAGCTTGTGGACTCAAAACCGTGGTTTGCAACGATGAATCTATACTACCCCAGAATGCTTCCACATAAGTTTCAGCTTTTCTGGCCCAGTAGTTCTTGAGAAGAAGATTTTCAAAGATTTTGCCTACATATTTCAATGTAAAAATCTGATTCCCTATTGTGGACCCACCCAACCGCCCGAGGGGGGGGGGGGTCATAATTTGAACAATTTAAAATCTACACAACCCAAGGATGCTTCCATATAAGTTTCAGCTTTTCTGGCCCAGTGGTTCTTGAGAAGAAGATTTTCAAAGAGTTTGCCTATATTTCAATGTCAAATTTTGATTTCCTATTGTGGCCCCACCCTACCCCTGAGGCCATGATTCAAACAATTGAAAATCTACACTACCCCAGGATGCTTCCACTAAAGTTTCAACTTTTCTGGCGAAGTGGTTATTGAGAATAAGATTTTTTAAAAATATTTTGCCTTTATATTTCGATGTCAAACTTGGATTTCCTATTGTGGCCCCGCCCTACCCCCGGAGGCCATAATTTGCATAATTTAGAATCTACACTACCCCAAAAAGCTTCCATATAAGTTTCAGCTTTTCTGGCCCAGTGGTTCTTGAGAAGAAGATTTTTAATGACCCCACCCTATGTTTGTCTTTTCTTATCCCCCCTTGTAAGGAAGGTGTGCCCTTCACCCAAGGATGCTCTGTGCGAGTGTTCCACAGACGATGGACAACAAGTGATCAGAAAAGCTCACTTGAGCTTTCAGCTCAGGTGAGTTAAAAACGAGACAGAGAACACGTGCCGCGGAAAAAAGAGAGACTAAATATTGTTCCTCTGAGTAAGAAACAAGCATGAATCACCACCAGAGAGTTTCGCTCAGTTATCGAGAGTTACCGTTTTATATTTGATGCACCCTCATGAGGTTAACTCCAGAATGCAGAAGAAATATTGTACAAAACATTGAAAATGCCCCCCCCCCCTCCCCTCCACAGGCACTTGTTTTGGTACATAAATAATTTTTTAACCCGTATGTAGTTTAATAATAATTAACATATTATACAATGGATTTTAAACTTTACTTTTATCCCCCCCTTTCAACATTTTCGTAGATAGACCAAACTTTCCACATTGACATGCTAAGATACATATGATAGGGTGAGCCTAGCTCACTCAGATGATAAAATTGCTGATTCCAGTCTGTAAAAAATCGCCTCATAGTTTGGCTATTGTATTGTTGAGCTATAATTCCACGAAAAAAAAGCATACCTGTTGAATTTTTCAGATCCATTAGATTCATGTGACAAGCAGACGAATCTCAATGTTTTGCTAATGACGTCATATCAGAAGAATCCTACATTTCCGGAAAAGTTCTTGTCCTAATCACTCCTGCTTTACTTTTGACAGAAACCAAGCTAATTCTTTTTTATTATCATTCTCTCTTTCTCTGAGAAATATTGAGATATTTTTCTTAAAGAGAGAGAGAGAGAAAGATGAACCTTATTTGAACATTTCCGGAACAGTGAACAAATACCGGATGGGTTTTAGTTTTAGTTTTCAGAGCAGTATTTCCTGTGTTGAGACAGACCACCTGATTTTATGAGATTGAAGTCCACGGTATGCTATTTGTACCGATTGCACTTTACTGTGACAGAATCGGTTACTGGAATAACAGCAAGTAGGTGGCACTTTGATACCGTCATGTAAATATATTGTGTATGTTCCTTTCAGTAGTTTGACAGGAGGAATACCAGAGCGACCCATGGACAAAGGGAATTTTTTCTAATTAGGATTAGGCCTACTCTAAAACAAAAATGAATCATAAGTATGCTTAAATACTAAGCTGCTTCCATCAGTGCCATGGTCAAAAGTCAACAGATAAAGTCTTGGACAATGATAGGTGTTTACATTTTTATTTGTCTCTGTTAGAGACAAAATGCTCATTGTTTTGGCATGTGATGTTGAACTGAACCCTGGTCCATAATATCCATGTGGCACATGTAATAGAGAGGTATCTTGGAGCCACCAAGGGGTCTGTTGTGACTCTTGTGATGCATGGTTTCATGCCTCCTGTCAGAATATAAACTCAAAGGTTTATGAAGCCCTTGACAATACAAATTGTTCATGGGTATGTTTTCAGTGTGGTATGCCAAACTTCAGCAGTGGCCTATTCTCCTTTAGTTACCTAGAGTCAGAAAACACCTATGCCCCTCTTAATCAAGAAAACTCAGAACCTAGTATGGACCTACCATCCAGTCCACCGCGAATTACATCAACACCAAAAAAGGGCAGTCGAAAACAAAGTACCAGTAGTATGGATAATGTTAGTAGAGGACTAAAGACCTTAAATATCAACTGTAGGTCTATTTGTAATAAAAAAGGTGAGTTCCAAAATCTTATAGATACTGTTTCCCCTGATATTGTAGTACTTTAGGTACTGAATCATGGTTGACACCCGATATAGCTGACAGTGAAGTATTTCCAGTAGACATGGGTTATACTGTATTTCGTAGGGACAGAGTTACAACCAGAGGAGGAGGCGTATTTATACTTGTTCATAAACAGTTTACAGCTTCAAGAACCTCTGAACTGGAAACTGACTGTGAGTTGTTATGGGTCAAAGTTGTATTGCATGGTAGCAAATCATTACATATAGGTGCTTATTACAAACCAGAGGAAGCAGATGAACAGAGCTTAGCCGAGCTGAACATCTCGCTTTCCAAGTTTGCTCATAAAGGTGGCACCATCTGGCTAATGGGTGACTTTAATTTAATATGCCAAAGTGTGATTGGGTTAGAAATAGTATTGACCCTAGTTGTAGAAATACAGCTTTATATGAGTACTTTATAGAGCTCATACAAGACAATAATCTACAGCAAATGGTAGATTTCCCTACTAGAGGTGAAAATACTCTTGATTTGTATTTGACAACTCGCCCAACTCTGGTAAGTAAAGTGGTCCCCTTACCTGGTTTGAGTGATCATGATATTGTGTACACAGAGTCAAACATAAAACCCCAGGTAAGCAAAGTTAAGCCTAGAAATGTCCATCTGTACAAAAAGGCAGACTGGGATGGGTTTAGACACCATATTGCTCAGTATAAAGATCATGTTCTCATGAATGTACATACATATACAGATACTGATTACTTATGGAATGAGTTCAAACAAAAAATCTCAGAGGGTTTATCAGCTTTTGTACCATCTATAAGGACCAGAGGTAAGAACAAGCTACCCTGGATTGATATTCACATCAAACGTTTGATTAGAAAACGTGATAAACTCTTTTACAGACAGAGAAGAACAAAAACACCAGAGGATAAACAGCATTATAAAAGTACTAAACATCTCGTACAGCAGCAAATAAGACTTTCATATAACAGGTATGTGAAAAACATCCTGGGTATACTGGAGGATCAGGTCTCTGACTCAGAAGTAAGCTCCAAACAAACCTATGCTCCCAAAAAACTATTCACCTTTCTAAAGCATGCAAAGAGGGACTCGTGTGGTGTATCACCACTTAAGGAGGGCGGTACTCTCAAATCAGCACCAGTAGAGAAGGCTGACATTTTAAACCGACAGTTTCAGTCAGTTTTTAGCCCCAAATCTCCTCTCTCCCTCTCCCAGCTATGTAACATGAAGGTGAGTGACCAACATAATAGTCTCCCCCACTCAACTGAGTATATCTCCATTACTGATGAACCCTCTCCAGCAAGAAGCCACATGCCTGAAATACAGGTACAATGTACTAAGCACAGAGGGTATAGAGAAATTGTTGAAAAACCTGAAGACAGACAAAGCAGCTGGCCCTGATCAGATCCCTCCCATCTTATTAAAGGAACTGCACCATGAGGTAAGTCCAATAATTCAAATCCTCTTTCAGCTCTCATATGATACAGGTACATTACCCAGAGAGTGGTGCACAGCAAATGTCAGTCCATTATTTAAGAAGGGGGACAGATCAAAACCGGCCAACTACAAACCAATATCCCTTACCTGTATACTGTGTAAAACTATGGAACATATTATTGCATCCAACTTGGTAAGGCATTTTACACAGAACAACATCTTATATGATCTCCAACATGGATTTAGGGAGCAACTCAGTTGCGAAACCCAGCTGGTGATGTTAGTAGATGAGCTTGCCCAGAACATCCAGCACGGTAAGCAAACCGACTTGATCCTGCTAGATTTCAGCAAAGTGTTTGACAAGGTCTCACACAACAAACTACTTTTCAAACTACATCAGTTTGGTGTTAGAGGCCGAAACCTAGCATGGATCAAGGGGTTCCTCAGTAACCGTTCCCAGAGAGTAGTGGTAGACGGCGAGTTTTCTACATCCATCCCCGTTACATCTGGGGTCCCTCAGGGCTCAGTCCTCGGTCCCATCCTTTTTCTCGCCTATATTAATGATTTGCCGGAGCATGTGAAGTCCCAGGTTAGACTCTTTGCAGATGACACTGTCATCTATATCACTATGGACGGACAAGGTTGTCAGTCAATGCTCCAAGAGGACCTTAAGCAACTAGAGGACTGGGAGACCTTGTGGGATATGGAATTTAATCCAAGTAAGTGTCAGGTTATCCATGTAATGACATCCAGATACCCCTTTTGTACCAACTACATACTTCATGGTCAGGTATTAGAGAGTACCTCATCAGCTCGGTATCTGGGTGTCGATATATCTGATGACCTGAATTGGAGTAAGCACATCAGCCGGGTTACAAATAAAGCCAACAGCTCCCTTGGCTTTCTACGTAGAAACATACCAACCAGGAACCATCAGCAGCATACAAGGCCGTGGTACGTCCACAGCTTGAGTATGCTGCCAGCATTTGGGATCCTTACTTGGTTACACATATTAACCAAATTGAGGCAGTACAGCGCAGAGCTGCAAGGTGGGTGATGTCAGATTATAGTAGGACATCAAGTGTCTCATATATGCTACACACCCTAGGTTGGCGAAGTTTACAACAAAGGAGGGTGGATGCAAGGCTTGTACTTATGTACAAGATCATACATGGTCTGGTTGCCATCTCCTCAGTTCAATTCGTTACCCCCAGTAGGACTACTCGTTCATCTCACTCCCTTACCTTTCGACAGATACAAAATTACTACAAAAAATGTTTATAAATACTCTTTTTTTCCACTTACGATAGTTCAGTGGAACAGATTGCCAGGCAGTGTTGTCTCACTTCCAGATGTTGAACATTTCAAACTGGAGGTGGGCAAACTTAATCACCTCAGACCTTAATTATAAAAAAGTCCTTTTATTTCTTTTAATTGTGAATACTGTTTTTCTAAACTTTTATCCTCACTAAAACCATAATACTACTTCCTTATTCACCCTATTGAAATTTACTTTCCTCTACTTTTTTTATATCTTTTAACCAGCTGCGCACCCTACTCAGAATACTCAATATTTGAGGGCGAGTAGTATCGAGAGATAGATAGATAAATGAATGTTGACACAAACTGAAGTACCTTTGCATCTTTGGAAATCCATGGTCAGTCTTACTTCTCGGAAAATGGTCCCTTTAAAACATCATTTGGTCAATCTATTATCTAATAAATTTATGGGTACTACTACAGGTCCAACACAATCTCTTGCCCCTTTGTAGGTAAAATATAACTTGAATGAGGTTTATACTTGTAAATTTTTTAAGCTATTCAGAATAGCTTGATAATTAAAAGCTATTTACAATGTATATGCACTACAGTTTTTTACAATTTTTTTTTTTTTATAAGAAATAGACAAAATATCAAAAGTATTTGACCATTAGTATATACTATAGACTATAAAAAAAAACCCAAGTTAAAGATAGTTCTAACATTGCAGCTTTTGAATACTTTTAATCAAAAGATGTATTTCCATTGTTTGGATAACTGTACAACACCTTGTGTGCATAATGAGGCATGGATAAGTATGATTGCTTCATATTTTGCTGAATTACTAACAATCAATTATCTTGTTGACCAGATCGAATCAATCCCGTTTATCATGTTTATAATTTCATTCAAGAAGTAACTGTGTGGTCAAAATCAATTACTTGTATAGCCTCAAAACTTTTAGAACTTTGAGTACATAATTCTCTCAACAAGACACAATTTGATGAGTGATTTTTACATACATTGTTTTCAAAAGAGTTCAAAGTTTGAATACTATCAATGCACCAACATGCAACTTTGCACACGCTGAAAAAAATAACACATTTTAGAAGAGTATGATGAAATACATGAAATAGCTAAATCAAGCTATTCTGAATAGCTAAAAAAGCTATGTAGCTAATTCAAACTTAATCAAGAAATTGTGCTGGACCAGTACCACTAGCACTGCAGATGTTACATTCTTCAATCTGCTGTGCATAAATCACAGTTACTGTATATTAAGAAAATTTTAAAAACCCATTACTGAAATAATTTTTTTTACTTTTGTACTTTGTTTCCAGAACCACTTGTGTTTAGAACCATGTCTACAAAACTACGTGAGCTGTATCCAGAAATAGAGCCGTTTGCTAAAGAGCATCTGAAGGTGTCAGATCTACATAATATTTATGTAGAGCAGTGTGGATCAAAGTCTGGAAAACCTGTAATATTTGTGTAAGTATAGGCATGGAAGCATACAGAGTATTGTACAAAATTCATTATTGCAGCATGAAAGATGTCATAATTAACTGCATTTTCTGCTACAAATCTCAGAATTATGAAGCATAAGTTCAATATCTATTGAAATATTTTTAAAATGCATAATAAATCATCTTAAACTGTAAAATTTAGTACATGTACTATACAAAGTATAATACCAAGATATATTGTTCAAAATGGCAACATTGACAAGATAAGCCCACCTTATCAGTTTAACATTGTTTTTGAAATTAATAGAATTATTTAATAGTACATTTACCTGTTTAACATTCTTAATTTGTTATTGTAACAGGCTTCCAGAATTTATGATATGAAAAGGTTAAATTATTGAACTGTACATGTACTTTTACACAAATTGCATAGATTTCTATTTTGCTAGCAACATGCTTTAAAGGAATCTTTTTTAAGGAACCATGATTATGGTTTTCCAGGAAATGGTAAAAGCTGTCATTTTGGAAGCTATAGGCTGTTGTAATTTCCATGGTGCACTTTTCACTTACTTTGAACCAAAATATGACAAAATTATCAGCTGCGCACATATTCTTCTAAATATCTTTAAATGTATGTACATAAATTTCACTGAAAATTTATTCCTTACCAAATTTGACAGATATGAATATATTTGTTTCGGTTTTCATGTATATTTTTCATAACTTTCTATATCCACTTTTGACTAGACATGGAGGTCCAGGAGGGGGGATAAGTCCACGTGACAGGAGATTTTTTGACCCTGATGTTTACAGAATTATCTTGTTTGACCAGAGAGGAAGTGGAAAAAGCACCCCATCTGCAGAACTCAAGGTTTGTGTCATTGAAAGATGTCAGTTCAAAAGTGTGCTGCATCACAACAATTACATGTATCCCATTCAAATAGTTGTCAACAGATAAGAAAATGTTTTTCACTGAGGTGTGTGGCTGTCTTAAAGCAGGGAGACAACTTCAGCTTAAAGAAAAAGAATAAAAAAAAATTGCATAATACATGTTACAGTGCATGAGTGTTTAAGCAGGGAGACAACTTCAGCTTAAAGGAAAAGTGTAAAGCGAGTGCATAATACACATTTCAGTGCAGGAGTGTATTTTTGCTGTAAGAAAGGTAACTCTTCAAAATATACAAGAAATTTTTCTGTCAGGATTGACATTTGATTCACTCTAGGATGGAATCATTAAGGTACAGAGATTTATGATAATATAGAAATTGATTGTTCATCAAAAAAAAAAAATCATATGTATGATTTGGAAAATGACTAACAGTATGCATCCCCATATCAAATGGCTAGCTGTGGCAGATTTATCAAGGTATGAATTACAATGTAGGGCTGAGACTATGTATTGAAAGATTGATTCTGCGTGAAGATGATTAGGGAATCAATACGTTTATAGAAAAATCAATACAGAACACAAATTTTCAGATATTTCGTTCTTTGGTTTACTTAACATTGGGATTTAATAGCCATTCTCTGTAACCACTTAAACTTTTGTGGCACGCATGGTCATAGATTTTTTTTCAAATTTGGCTGGAATTTAGCACCTCATAAACTACTCCAAAAAATATTGTTAGATCATATGAATGTTGAGTAGTTACCATGGAAACGGTGTCTAAAGTTGATTTTTTCTGAAAATATGCAATTTTTAGGAATGTTATTCAATGAAATGCGGCTACTTCAATTCATGATACTCACAGAAATAAAAAGTATGACATCTGATTTTAAAAGACATTTAAAAACATTGTTGGTATTCAGTCTATAAATATGAGAAATCTATGATTAAAATAGCAGACATTCATTTAAAAATTGAATTATCTCCCTTTGATAATTGTGAGCTCTTTAGTGTGAGAGATAAAAAAAATCATTGGACAAAACTGACTGGAAGTTGTGTACAATTGTCAACATATATCCTGGATTTCAAGTAAAATCAAGTGTTTTTTCTGTTTATTTAATGTGCATACAAATTTTTAACCTCTTTGTTTATTTCCTGGATGCAAAAGAGTAATTTTGATGTGTGAACAATGGCGAAATGTACATGATCACACTATAATGTGAGAGAAGTAGGCTATTGATTTTACCTAAATGATTAGATTCAAGCTACATTTAAATGATCATACAAAACTGGAAGTTGAAAGTTGGATAAAAAATAGACTTGGCAACAACAAAGTACAGGTGTATCAAGTTTATATTGAATGAAGTGATGTAAATTGATGCCTGTCATTAAAGGGAGGACCATTTGATTTGTTTGGGGGGGGGGGGGGGGTTGACAGATTTTAGAAACTAATAATCTGTTCTTGAAAATGTTGAAAATAAATAATCTGTCCTCTACTGACAGGAAAATAGACAGGAAAATAAATAATCTATCCTTGATAAGTGCTATACAAACCCCACCCCCACCCAAAGGCACTTAATTCGGTAATAATTTTTTTAACCCATAGTATAATAAGTATTATTATTATACTATGGGTTAAAAAATTATTACCAAAACAAGTGCCACCCCCCCCCCCCCTTCCCACGAAATAGAGTTTGGGCGTATTCCTTTTTTTTGGGGGGGGGGGGCTCTTCAGACTTTTTTTTAAGGTGAAACAGAAAATAAATAATCTGTCCAGGATCATCTTGGAAATAAATAATAAGGATTTCACTACCACGAAAATAAATAATCTGACTAAGAAAAAACAAACGCTCTTTACACCCCCATCTAAAATTAAAGTACGAAAAAGTATATTTTATCTCTATTTAAAGGCTGCATGTAGAAAAAAATCCACACCTAAAAACCAGTTTTTAGTGAAGGATGTAACAGAAAATTCAATCTTTTTAATTCCTCCTACTGTTTGCCTTTATCTGTATCACAAAGAAAGAGAAAAGTTATGTGTGTATATTTCAGATTTTGCTTTTTTATTAAATGATTTTGAAAACATTTAGAAAGAAATTGATAATTTTGCTGAAGCAAGAATTTTCTTTAAAGGAAAGATCTTTACCCAATAAAAAAAAAAGGATAAATTGTTAAGGCCAATAATAAAAATGTTTTGTTTGATTCCTGTCGAACAGTCAAAATTATACTTTCATTTTTTTTTTGGGGGGGGGGGGGGTGCATAGAAATACAAATTGTCTGAATCTTATTTAAAGTTAACGGTTTATCATTTCTCTAGACTAAGATACATTTAGATTGAGCCTTGTAGCAGTAAGATTAATTTTAAATCTGTCTAGCTGTATTTTATTTACAACGAAAACATAAATAAATTTCTGACAAGCCCCCCCCCCCCCCTTTCTACCAAAAAAAAAATCATAAAATTAAATTTAAAAAATCTATACCCCGGGAATGGGGGCAGGGTGGGGTTAATCACTTATGAATGAACCACTTCGGAATCCTTTAATTAAATAACGCTTCTTAACGTTTTACAAGGTTTTTTTTTTTTTTTTTTTTTTTTACATGGTTCCTGGAAGGGGTGGAGTAAGTCCTGGCCATTGGTTACTTTACTATATTCATTTTTTAAAATAAAATGAAAACCGTAGGAATAAGGCAGGGACAGATTATTTATTTTCAACATTTTCAAGGACTAAACTTTTGAAATTATGTTTACATTACACACCATAAGGTGTACGATTCCATCAAGCTTACCAACCAACTCAAATTAAGCAACCAACATAAATTCAAGAAAGCACAAAAACAGATTATCCGGACAGGTTCAGCAGATTTTCACAACCGATTATTATTGATTAAATTTTGGGAAAAAGCAGATATATTATGTGTAAACCCATGCATATTTGGGTTGAAATATTCATCATCAATGTCTCTAAATTTTCAAGTTTTTAAGAATAATATTGCAAAGTAATTTAAAAATGGATTTAGGCTTTTTCTGTCAATTTCTCTGGAAAAAGTCACAGGAAAACATAATTTGATTGTCACTGGAAAAGAGTGGGCTGTTGAATAGGGTCAAAAATGTACATTTTAGATTAAGGACTTAGTCTACAAAAACAACAAAAGAGTTCTTACATGCATGTAGCACAATTCTCTACGTACAAGTCATTCAATATGGTAAGTGTATAGGCTTTCAATATTTTGACTTGGCTACATTTTTATCAATAAATGACCTTTAAAAAACATTCTCATAGCATTTTCACATTATATATGCATCAAGCTAAAGGTGAGAATGTAATTTATTTACCAGTTTCAGTATAAAACAGGATACGCTTTCACAATATCCAAGTATAAATGCAATACTAACAAGCTAATTCAGAGAATCTGTGTCCCCTGCTTAAGGAAAAAAGAGCATGTACGGATCTAGAGGGGTGGTGGTCGTAGGATGGTGGGGGTGGGGGACGGGACACTTTCAGAGGAGCGGGCTGGACCATAGGGAGTTATGATATAAAATTTCATTGCAAAAGCTTAAAAGCTTCATGAGATATCGCTCAAATATGAAAGTTTTACACACAAACAGAATGTATAAATTTTTGACATTGACCTTTGACCTTTTGACCTCGAAATCAATAGGGGTCTTCTTTAGTTCATAGGGAGTTGTGGTTTAAAATTTCAATGCAAAAGCTCGAAGGCTTCTCGAGATATCGCACAGAAATAAAGTGTTTAAACATACTGAATTTATGAATTCGTGACCTTGACCTTTGACCTTAAAATCAATGGGAGTCTTCCCTAGGCCACAGGGATTTTTTATGCAAAATTTAATTGCAAAGGCTCAAAGGCTTCTCGAGACATCGGGCCGAAACTAAAGTGTTACAGAAAGACAGACTGACGGACAGATGGACGGTCAGACAGACCCAAATCAATATCCCCCTTTTTCAGTGAAAGCGGTGGACAAAAAGGCAATTTTTATATACCATTGTGACCTTGAACTTTGACCTTCTGTCTGTATTTACCAATTCAGGTGATGCTACATGTAGTTATTGCCCACCAGAATGGTAATTTTGTTTATTCATGCTGTTTAAAACAAAAGTATTAGTTGGGACACAGAAAAAAATGTGCTCAGTTTCCTTAAATTTCTATCTAAATCGAGCCATTTTGACCTTGACCTTTGACCTTTTGTCATGAAAATTGATTTTTCTCTTTGTTTTTGCTATTGTGTACCACATAACTAGATTTGGTTTCAATTCATTTTAAAATACTCAGGTATTTATATGGAAACTGATTGTAAATACCTATTGCCCTTGTCTGGAATTCTTTAAAAAAAGCATAAGTTTGTAACCATGGTAACACGAAAACAAAATATGAATACCAAGTGTTTCTTTGCAGTTTATATTAGAACTATATATGGACTTTCAAACCAATGTATTTAATTTTTCCCATATGTCCGCAGAATTTTACACCAGGCTTTTCAAAAGAGCCTAAAATCTACAATTTTTCCACAGAAAAATCCTACCTAAAAACGGGCAATATTTTTTCTATTAGGTAAAGTTGCTCCAATACTAGAAATTATCTAAAGAACTATAGAAATGATGTATTTTGGCAAAAAGATGAAGTCATGTAAATATCTTGTTGTGTTAAAGACTTTTAATTAGTCAAAAAGGGTCATTTTTCATCAAAATTTAGCTTTTTTTAGGCCATGAAAAATGTATGTTGGTTGCCATGGTAACCATGGACCATAGCAACCATTTTATTATGAATTTTAGTTTCATACATCAATATAGGAATGTGTGCCAAGTTTCATAAAAATCTAAGACCTAGCATGCCACACTCCCTATATAAGAGTTTAAATGCTTACAGAGAATGGCTATTAAAAATTTAAAAATACTTTAAATATGAAATATATACGGTAATAATTTACTTTTATACTTGCATTATGTAAATAATTTTTTTTTTATTACAGATACATGTGTATATAGCTACCAAGAATAAATGATTTTTATTAAAGAAGAAATTTACTTTCTTTTAGTACAATATGAAAATATTATAACCAATTAAAAATATCATGATTTGTATTGTACTGTCAGTCTGTGGTGCAAATACGTGTATCATGATACATATTGATAAAGAAAAAAGTGTACTGTTCCAGTCCTAAGTTACATGCACTTGTGAATGGATCTCAGGTTCATCAATTGCATAACAGAATTTTAAATTTTTAAATCAGTTATGTTGAAAGTGTTTCACTATCAAGTTTTATAAGAATCGCGAACTTCTATCAGAAAATCCTGAGGAAGAAACCTTTGAAAAATTTCTAAAAAGCTAACCATTAGCAAAAAAAAAAATGCTTCCTATATATTATCCTTAAAACAATTTACATGTATATGTAATAACATTAAAAAAAAATGTTAATCACTTTTCAGTGTTCTAGTCCTATTTCTTGAGCTTATAGAAATCAAAATTATAAATAGAGTTACATGTAAAATTCATTTTCTACATGTACATTTTGGAAACCCAAGTTTTACATTTGGCCAAGTTAAATTTTGCATTCACTTGCTCTAAGGGAAAGCTAATGTTTATCTTTGACAATGTACTAGAAGTAGGTAGATATGTACTACTATAGTTAATTAAGGATTTATGTACTACAAGTTGATAGATGTGAAAAAGTGGCTTCAGAGATCTTGCTATCCAACATGTAGCTCTTGTCTACTGTTTAATACTTATGTTTCAATTTAGGAAAACACCACCTGGGATTCAGTGGCAGACATGGAGAAGATCAGACAGCACTATAACATTGATAAGTGGGTTGTGTTTGGAGGGAGCTGGGGGTCCACTCTTTCATTGGCGTATGCTGAGACACATCCAGACAGAGTTAAAGCCCTTGTTTTAAGGGGGATATTTACTCTTAGAAGGTGATTTTTTCAAAAATTTTTAAAAACAGTTTGAAAGGAAATGTAGTCATATTTGCAAAGAAATGATAAATATGCCTCTGCTTGAGGTTCATTGAGACTCTGATAAGAGAGATAACACTGAATTGTATTTAAATGTCTATAATTCCTTTATAATTATAAAAATCAATTGTCAAATTGAAAGGTCTTTTCTGGCCAATTTTGCTCAGCAAACTATGCTAAAATTGCTTGCATTTTACTAATAAGATACTTTTCTTTTGGAAAATCATAAAGCATCATTTTATATGAGTGAACAAAGGGATTAGGAACCTAGAAATGGGAAACTCTTAGCATATGTGAACTAAGTACACATGTATTTATTAATGTTACAGACGTGAACTTCTTTGGTTCTACCAAGATGGTGCTAGTTTAATTTTTCCAGATAAATGGGAGGATTACATCAAGCCTATTCCTGAGGTAGGCTGATTCAGGAAAAAATAAAAGGCAAGATGAAAACCACGTATCTTATATTTAGGTAGTGCTGATTGCTTGTATGATGTAGATAATGGTTTATTTACTATGTAGATAATGGTTTATTAGCTCTACTGGTCTCTGGTCAGAGACCAGAAGAGCTTATGCGATAGAGAGGTGTCCATCGTCCGTGTGTCTGTCCGTCTGTCTGTAAACAATTTTTCAAAATGCTACTCCTCCTACAGTTTTGGTCTGATTTCAGTTTAACTTGGCACACTAGTAGACTACACTAAGATACATAATTAAGTGCATCAGTTTTTGATTTCGATGAACAGTGTTGCCATGGTTACTAAAAATAGAAATTTCTGTGAAATTCCTTTAAAAGGCTACTCCTCCTACAGTTTTGGTCTGATTTCAATATAACTTGGCACACAAGTAGACTACACTAAGATACATAATTTAGTGCATTGGATTTTGATTTCAATGGACGGTGTTACCATGGTTACTAAAAATAGAAAATTCTGTGAAATTCCTTTAAAACGCTACTCCTCTACAGTTTTGGTCTGATTTCAATATTACTTGGCACACAAGTAGACTACACTAAGATACATAATTAAGTGCATCAGTTTTTGATTTCGATGAACGGTGTTGCCATGGTTACTAAAAATAGAAATTTCTGTGAAATTCCTTTAAACCGCTACTCCTCCTTCAGTTTTTGTCTGATTTCAATATTACTTGGCACACAATTAGACTACACTGAGATACATTATTCAGTGCATCGGTTTTTGATTATGTTGAACGGTGTTGTCATGGTTACTAAAAATAGAAATTTTTGTGAAATATTTTCAAAACGCCACTCCTCCTACAGCTTTGGTTTGATTTCAATATAATTTGGCACACAAGTAGACTACACTAAGATAATTTATTTTGTGTATCAGTTTTTGATTTTGATGAACAGTGTTACCATGGTTACTAAAACTAGAAATTTCTGTGAATTTCCTTTAAAACGTTACTCCTCCTACAGTTTTGGTCTGATTTCAATCTAATTTGGCACACAATTAGAACACACTATGATACATAATATATATTTCGGTTTTTGATTATGTTGAACGGTGTTGTCATGGTTACTAAAAATAGAAACTTCTGTGAAATACTTTCAAAACGCTACTCCTCCTACAGTTTTCGTTTGATTTCAATATAACTTGGCACAGAAGTAGACTACATTAAGATACATAATTCTATTTATTGTTGCATGTTGCAAAGTTTCAAATCCAAGTGCTACTTGTGTGTTATACGTACAGACCAGTAGAGCTACAGTCTCATCAGAGACTTCTGATTTTCTATATGATGTAGGTAGTGGTTTATTTACTAATGTAGGTAGAGAGGGGGGACATAATGAGTGCCTACTACAGAAGACTGACCAGTGAGGATGAGAATACTCGTGTCCAGGCAGCTAAAGCCTGGAGCGGCTGGGAAATGGCCACATCAAGATTGCTAATTGATGAAGAAATGTTAAAGAAAGTAGACAGTGATGTGTGGTCTTTGCAGTTTGCCAGAATTGAATGGTAAGTGATCGGTGAGGGGAGTCAGTTTATGTAATATTATACTTTTATGATTTCTGATGAGATCTACTTTTGGCTATTTGGTTGGGTTATATGATTGACAGAGGCCAAAAGCTGAGTTCAACTAATACCTTATCATGACTGGATTGTCACAAGTGGTTCAATAAATTCTTTATTACCATATATATTCGCCTATAAGTCGGTCCGCCTATAAGTCGGATGTATTTTTTGAGGTTATGTTGGAGGAATTTGCCATTGACTCGCTTATAAGTCGATGCAACTTTTTGCCAGAATCAGTTGACAATTTCAAATGAATGCTGCAATCTTTTAACCTGGTTTCGATTAATATTTTTAGAAATGACGCCGTTATTTAATTTTAAATCATTAAGAAAAATACAAAATGCACACTTTAGAAAAAATAAAGTTATTAAAATATGTAAATACTTGAACTTTATGTATAATCTTAGAATACATAAATGATATAATATATCCAGACTTTGTTCAACAATAATCCGTTGAAATTTTTATAGAATACAACATTTCGCTGTCAATCTTTTTATGACTCGCCTATAAGTCGGACATAGAATTTTGGACCAAAATTTAACTCCCAAAAAACCGACTTATAGGCGATTATTTATGGTAAATAATCAGGATTTCTCATGCAAGTTTTTCTACAGGGTTTTCTTTTTTTTAAATTTTGACTATCATTAGGGATATTCTATTAAATTTGACCTGTTTAAATATTGCCACTTGGGTGGGAGGGGGAGGGAGGGTTTGTTTCTAAAACATTTCTAGACTTATTTTAAATTTTAAACATGTAATACGTGCAAAATACAGAGAATGAAATATTAAAAGATCTATCAGTCAGATGCTCTTAAACTTTTTATTTTGGCTAGTCTAAAGAACTTTAAATTTTAAACAACCTTTATTCTACATTTTTTAACACAAATTTCCATTTTTTTCAGTCGCCTTGAAAAAAAAAATTATGAATGAAAGATAAGTAATAAAGGAAAATATTTACTACATTGCAGTAGACGTGTGTTTATTTTGAATGGTATTTTAAATTTTATTGGCATGATTGCATGCCTTTTCTTCTCATAAGCAAGTAAGTCTTCATATCATTGTCTTTTTTTTATTCATTACATCATATTTCTAAACAGCTTTTTTGGGATTTTACAGAGACCTCTTTTGATTTTTACATATTTTTAACATTCAATAAAAAATTGAAAAGAATGTAGTTTGATATTCAGGAATAAGATTTCTAAAGAGAATGATTCTGAACATGAATATGAATGGATAATTTCTCTTTAATTTGTCGGACTATTTTCAAAAGATTAAAGTTCATTGAAGATTACACAATTTGTCTTGATTGTCACTTGTTCTGTCTATTTACCGTATACAGGGTTATTTTTGCCCTGTGTTATTGTCAGCATATCTAATCCTGCACACACTTTCAGTAGCCCCATTTTGAATTCACCCAGACAAAGTTGTATAAAAGGAGATTAATCTTTCTTCTCTTGGTATGTCCTGTTTTGAATTCGCTCACTTGCAACAAGGGGAAAAGGGGGTGTCAAAATTAAAATTGGGGCAAAAATTCCCCTCTATACAGTATATTACACTCTTTCTTGTTTTTGATATTAAATGTCTGCTATAAAAAGGCTTGAAATCCATAAAATATATTTTTTAATGAATTTTATTAATTTTTTAATTATACTGGAAAATATCCCCTTGAATTTAAAACAAAAAAATTATGGAACTTAGAAATGATTTCCTAATTGAAAGAAAATGCACTGTAATGCAATCCCAACGAAAAACTAATTTTTTCTGATGCCTAAAATTTCAGTCATTATTTTGTAAACGGAGGATTCATGAAGAAGGATGGACAACTCTTGGATGATGTAGATAAAATTCGTCACATTCCTTGCACCATAGTCCAGGGCAGGTACGATGTGGTCTGTCCAGCAGAAACAGCTTGGTTACTGCATAAGGTAATTTCTTTTGAAAATAAATTGTTCTTTGAAAAAAGTGTATATCCATCGTTTCCTAATTTGGAGTTCATGGTAATTAGTCTGACCATCACTCTGTTGTTCTTGAGAAGATTCTTAATGAATTTCCTACATCTTCCTATGTGTAACTTTGATCTTTTGTGGTGGCATCAACCTACCCCCAGGGGTTATGATTTGAACAAACTTAAATCTACACTACCCGTGGATGTTTCTTCATTAATATGACTAATCATGGCTTTGTTCATCATGAGAAGATGATTTTTAAAGATATTTCCAATACATGTATATTCCTGTGTATAACTTTGATCCCCTATTTGTGCCCATTCTACTACCAGGGTCTTGACTTGAACAAACTTGCATCTACACTATGTAATGAAGCTTTCAAATAAATTTCATCTTTTCTGGCCCAGTGGTTCTTGAGAAGAAATTTTTTTTTAAAATGACATTAAATTATAATTATCTCTCCTTGAAAGAGGGTGTGGCCCTTCATTTGAGTAAAGTTGAAATCAATCTCCTTTACCCAAAGATGTTTTTTGGCAAGTTTGTTTGAAATTGTCCCAGTGGTTCTGGAGGAGAAGATGAAATTGTGAAAAATTTACGATGACAACAAATAGTGATCAATTTAATCAGAAAAGCTCACTTGAGCAGACGAGCTAGAAATGACATCAGCAGTTTTTATTTATCGAGGGAACACAACTATAATTAACTTTGTACCTTTTTTTAATTCACTGGAATCACTCATGTGACCTATTGCCATCTGTTTTCTTCAGTCCTCCAACATGCGATATGCATCATACATCTTGTAGAGAAACTTGTACTCTACTGAGAGAAATTATGCCCCTTTGCTTTTCAACTTTGATTATTAATCACTGTCAGAATGTAATTCATAGGTCAATTGAATAAAAGAATTAAAAAAGAATAGTGTATGATAAAGAAAATTGCTTTCAAATTTTTAATGGCCAGGTAGACTTGTAAATAACAGATACATAAAATGAGACAAAAATACCTTAGTTTGTACATTAAATGTTCTTCAAAGACCAAGAGAGGCCAATCAGAGAAGGTATGAGATGAGTTAATGTGCTCAAGCACTATTTATATATTTTGTCTACATGGTAATAGTGACAAATGGGAGTGTACAATGTATAAGCACTGGTAAGTACAGGCAAATAAAGAGATCTACCATATGATTTGTTTCCGAGTTGTAGACTAACTGTTTTGTTGATCCCTGACTATCTTTTTTCTCTTGCATGTATCATATTTCAACATATCTTCATCTATCAGTGTATTTCGTTTAATTTCATACTTCTATCAGGGCTCTAATTGGTGACTAATTTAGTCACCATGGCACCTAAAAATTTTTATTGGCGCATAAAATTTTTCCGTAAGTCGCCAAATTGGCGACCATTTTAAATTGACTTGGCGATCATCAAATTCCGGAAATTTTAACATTTTTAACAATTTTTCTGAAAAAATGAAAAGAAATTTAAAAGAAGAGGAAATAATTCTTAGACATGGACATGTCCTGTTTTCTAAGTCACATCATAGGTCCCTATATTGATTTATAATATTAACTTTTAAAGTTTGCACCTTAATAAAAAATTGTCTGTTAACTAAAAATTTGCATTGGTGACTAAATTTTTTGATAAGGCACCAGCTGGCGCCTAAATTTTAGCCTGTCTATGGATTCTTTAGTGCTGTATTGTACTCAGGTGGCCATTAAGAACCTTGGGCATCTTGTCTTCTATTTAGGGGAGGGGGTGAGTGAAAAAGTCCCTCTCTTGCCGGCCACTTCCATCCCCACTTGCTAATCATTGTTCTACTGGAATGCATAACTTACAATACAGGATTTTTAGGAGTTTTATCCATTCAACTTTTCAAAGAATGACCTTTTAGCTCATCTCGATGAAGTCAAGATGAGCTTATGCTATACTCTGGGGTCGGTGTCGGTGTTAGTGTTGGCATCCCAGTTAAAGTTTTAGGAGCAAGTCCATTCCCAAGTAACTAAACTAACTATAAACCCTACCTAGACTAAACTTGCATAGATGATGCATCTATGGATGGACACTACCACACTTGCTTGGGATGCTGGGTCTGACTTAGATTTTCCAGATGAGTGACCAGGTTAAAATTTTTGGAGCAGGTCCATTTCCAAGTAACTATAACCCCTACCTGGACCAAACTTGCATGGATGATGCATCTAGCAATGGACACTACCACACTTGCTTTGGATGCTGGATCTGGCCTAGATTTTCCAGTTGAGTGACCAGATTAAAGTTTTAGGACCAAGTCAATTCCCAAGTAAATATAAGCCCTACCTGGACCAAACTTGCATGGATGATGCATCTAGCGATGGACACTACCACACTTGCTTCGGATGCTGGATCCGACCTAGATTTTCCACATGTGTGAATTTTAGCCATGTTTTTACCAAATTAGCATAGATGATGTATCTAGAGATGGATACTTGCAGACTTGCTTTGGATTCTGAATCTAACCAACATTTTCCAGATGAGTGACCCGGGTAATTTTTTGGAGTAGCTATATAATATTATGGCCTGTTATGATTAAACTTGCATAGATGGTGCATCTAAGGATGAACACTTCTAGACTTGCTTTGGATGTTGAAACTGACCAAAATTTTCTTGATAATAAACAGGTTGAAGGGTTTTTGAGCATGCAGTTCTTTTTCCAAGTAACTATAAGTCCTACTTAAACCAAACTTGCATGGATATCAATCTTGGGATATACACTAACTAGGAACAAAAGTTTGATGTGAAATTTGCTGTACTTTTAGATAACATTCGCCGAGGTGAGCTTTGTAATCTTTGATTACCTATGTTTTTTTTTTATAGAAATGGCCCGAGGCTGAGTTTCATATTGTTCCTGATGCTGGACATTCCAACAGGGAGTCTGGAACTGCATCTCTGTTACTGGATGCCACGGACAAATACAAAACTCTATAAACAAAATACAGGCAAATGTAAAATTCGAAATTGAACATCCAAACTTTTACAGGGCATCACAAAGAATTACAACAAACACAGCTTATTTGGACTAAAATTTACGAACAAGTGCATAATTATAAACAGAAATGTGACAGCCTTTCTTGCACAGAATATTTTACAGATGTATTGGGATGGTTAACAGTACATGTCTGCAGTTAACCTTTGTGATATTTTGTGCTTCATTTAATATCACAGAAATTAAAATATTCAGTTTGTATATTTTTAATTTATTCAATAAACATGTATAAATCAAAGAATAATAAATAAAATATTTTCACAGAATTTACTTGTTTTTTCAATAGCTTACCCTAAAAATATGGACTTTAAATTCAAAAACTTTTATATTAGATAGCACAAGGAAAAATAAGCTAATGCTCCAAAAATAGAATTAGGAAATACACACAGAAGAAAAGACAACAGACATAATCATTGAAGGGACACAACCGTAAATTAACTTATTGGTATCTGATGTGTAGTAAATAGTGGCAAAATTATTTGGAACACCATCCCCAGCTCATATTTCTGAATTGTAGAAATTTGCATTTTTGGCCAATTTTCAGCACCATCCTTTATATAAGCATGTACATGTATTCAGATAAGAAGTGGTTTTACTTTCACCTCCTTGGTTTATGATTCTGCACAAAATTGCAAGAAAATTTTTTTTTTATGAAACATTTCATAAATTAGTAAAATTACGGGTATATCTGGCTTTGATGATTCCAATGAAGTATTTCTTTCTGTTTATTCTTTAAATCCAGAACAACACAAACAAGATAGCAGTTGACAGAAATTGCAGAACGCTGTTGATTAAAATCATTGCACAGTTTGTTCTACACTCAAAGGCGTTTTCGTCCGAAGCTTCATTGTAAGAATGGTCCTCATAGTCGAACTCTCGGACATTGGTGTCCAGTGTGTTGTCTGGATTACCATTCACGGCTTTATGTCTACTCTGGGGGACACTCAATCCATTGTTAGATTTAGTTTCTTTTGGTTTATATTTATGCTTCTTTGATGTAGTTGCAACGGAAACAATCGTCGACATAACACAAAGAAGCAACTGGAAACCAACATACACAGAAAGATAGGGCACGTCTGTAGAATTCTGAGGCATCGTTTGTTCAAATAGTGTTAAAAAGACAGTAAAAGCCAGTAAAAGGGTAAGTGAATACTGGATTCTTTCCCCTGATTCTAGAGGGATGACAAATGTCATAGAACTTAAAACAGCCATTGCAATGATGGGTACTAATGTAGTGAGAACAAAGTAAAGATACCGTCGTTTTAGGTGAAGCTCGTAAATCAACAATGTCTGATCAAACTCTTTATCATATATTAAACTGTATGAAAACTTCGTAAATTCCCATTCTCCATTTTCTGATATGTTGTTTAAATTGTAACTAGGTCTTTGTGTTGGAATAAGTCTTTGCATGTAATCGGTTAATAGCCAAGGAGAAACTATTATGGTACATGTCTGTTTATCAAATGGAAAATTCTTCATCTTAAGTTCACAAGTGACAACGAACTTTCCTCCTGGAAACCAAATCAATTGACCGTTGGATTTCACCGTAACAAAAGAATGAGCCCCAGTTTCATAGAGGTTATCTTCGGAGTTATAAATGGATAAATCTGGAACCCAAACTTTCTGGAAAGGCACAACTATCATTTCTATTCCGGAATTTTCTGTCTCGTTCCAAGTCAGAAATTCGTCTTCCCACTGAACATTGAACCAGGCATAGAAGGAAATGTACTGGAGCTGTTCCTCTACTTCATGGACTGAAGTGATACTCATATGAATGCTCACTTCTACAGTTTCACTTTGATTTTTCCTTGGTTTAAAAATTGAGCTGTAGTTCCTGAAAAGATTTTTCTCGAAGGAAGATTTACATAGACAGACACGCAACAATAATAACACGATACTGAGAAATAAAACTCTCATATTTTTATGTTCACTGCAAGATTGAAACCTCCCTATCTACAGCAATAGCGGTTATTATCAAAAAAAAAAAAAAAAAAAAAAAAACTCTTTCGAAATTTGAGTATGGTTCAGCAAAACTCTGACTAAATGTCCCATTAAACACAATTACTACGTACTACACGACTATTAAAAAAAAAAAGGGCATTATTTGTCTCTTTTGATAAGCACTTAATGAAACCCATTTATTAATTGCAAATAATCCTCATCTAACTAAAACTAACATTTTGAGAAGCCGTATCTATTTCAGGAATCAAAATTAATCGAAGAAGCTGGTGATAATATAATTGAAACCAAATCAATTGCTTTGGTTTGTTTGACAATTAATTCCCAGAAATACAGGTAACTCCTATAATCAACAGAAAATTCTAAATTTGATGGAATTTGCTTCGAGTTTTACAACCTATCTTTTCATTCAATTGATTATGATATCGGTAACTTGTAGTGTTGTTCATGGACATAAAACCATTAACACCGAAACTGAGAACAAACGGCTGCCGTTCCAGTAAACACTCAGCTACCTCCTTTTAATTAAAATCATTTGAATCTTCTTTTTTGTTTGTTTGTTTGTTTGTTTGTTTTTTTTTTTTTAAAATTTCATTTGAATAAACGATTTAGTTAGCTTCTCGCCAGTGTTCTTTATTAGAGTGTATTAACCTTGCTATGGAGAAGAAAAAGAATTAACTATTAAAAAAAAATAGATAAATTAAAAAAAAAAACAACCAACATATTTAAATTTCAATACTTCCAGTAAACTGTATACTTTACATATAATAATTGTTTTTAAATTTTAAGCACTGACAAACTATAGAAATGGATATGTAGTATAATAAATAAATTTTAATAAAATTATCTATCTATCTATCTATCTATCTATCTATCTATCTATCTATCTATCTAAATATTAACTCTTCATACTAGTAAATTATGATAATACAGTATCCCATGAAAAGTTTTCTTTCCAGTTTTTAATCACAAGCGCTAAAAAAATATCAAATGCACAGTGATTTTAAATATATTTTGAAATACATTTTTTTTTTCTAAATTGTTGCATGTGTTTCCCTCAGTGGAATTCACAGTAAAAGCCAAATTTTTTAATCGTGGGTTGAAGAGAAAATGTGGGTACGAAAGACTTTTTTAAAAATAGTTTTAAAATGTATAAATATGCATTTTTAGCTCACCTGAGCTGGAAGCTCTATAGTGAGCTTTTCTGATCATTTGTACTCCGGCGTTCGTCTTTTCGCCTGTCCTTCCGTCTCTAAACTTTTCTCATTTTCGACATCTTCTTAAGAACCACCAGGCCAATTATTACCAATGTTAGCAGAAAGCATCCTTATGGCTAAAGGGGATTCTAAATTGTTCAAATGAGTTGCCAAGCCCCTTCCAAGCGCAGGAAGTGTAGATTTTAAAAAGTTCAACTCAAGAGTGGGGCCACAGTAGGGGATCAAAGTTTTGCATTGAACTATATAAGATTTTAATTCTTTTTAAAAATTTAGATCTTCGAAAGAAACACGATATAACCATTAATTTGCAAACATTTCCAAGTTGTGTGCATTTATTATCTTTTTTTTAAGTTATAGACCCGGGTTAGAGTTGACTAAAATCAGGATCAAATTTTAAAAGTGCATGTATACATGCATAAGAAAAAGAATTTTCTCCATAACTGCAAGGCCATTTTAGTCATATTGATATTGAAGCATCCCCTTAGTATGTTGATTCAAAGACCCTTAGATTTAAAAAAGGGGCCATAATGTGGAGTCATAATTGTTTTATGGGAGTATAAATTTGTTTTTAGAAAAACCTGAAGATCAGCAGGGCTAATTATAAAGTAACTCTGTTTAACGTTTTGGCCCATGGGCCTTTGGTTATTGTTATTAGTCCCCTACTGGAGAAACCGGAGGGGACTAAAGGTTTCCTCTGAGTCTGTCCGTCCGTTTGTCTGTCTATCCGTCTAACTGTCCCTCTGTCTGTCTGTCAGTCTGTCCCACTTGGTTTTCTGCACTTTTTTTCTAAGCGCTAGCAGATATTGAGCTGATTTTTGGTATGTGAGTGTATCTTGATAAGTTATAGATCAAGTTTGCATTTCGTTCCGCTTTATTGATTTTTGACGGAATTACGGCATTTTCAATTTTTAAAGGGAACCAGATTACACTTGCCGGTAGGGGACTAGTATTGCTTATGCAATACTCTCAGAATGCTTTTTTTTTACTAGCCTTAGAGATAGATTTTTATTCATTTAAGACAGAGTCTAATAATGGATCTATATTCCGACAGTAAAAATGTCACTATTATTCTTTTGAATTGTAGAAATTTTCCATTCAGTATGAAAATAATGGCCTAACAATTTGTAATAAAATATTAAAGTCCACAAATTATAGATTGCATTTGAAAACAAGGTTATTGTACCGATCATAGAATTTGCAAAATGTTGACTTTGTTAATACCCTTGTAATATCTAGACTTATTTATCAGTTGCCTGTCTCGGCTTGGAAAATGTTATTTTAGAGAACATATTAGAGACATAAACGCCATATGCAGGCGATCAAGGTATATAGCTACGTAAATAAAGGAACAAAGTTTAGTTCTTAGTTTACAATTAATGTCTTACACTTGTAAAATGCATTTTCAAATAATGGAAGTCTATACTTGATATTTACATTTAAAATAAATTTGACAAGTAATTTACATTACAAAATATGCAAATGTTTACTTAATACCTTTTGATGTATTTGCCAATACAACCGTTTCCTCTCACTTGCGCATGCTAACAATATACATTATACATAGAAATGTATGCACTCAATTTTATTTGTTGTATGCTCTTGAACAATTACATTTTTCAAAAACATTATGATTTACAGTTAGTTAAATAATACAGCTACATTTCTTTGTCACGGGATCACAGGTGCCCCAGTGACAGGGGGGTGTGGAGCAATCCCAAAATGTCTCGCATCCTAAAAAAGACAACATGCAATCATTTAAAAGGCGATAAAAAAGGTAAAAAAATATACACAAATTAAACTGCAATGTTTCAATGACATATTCTTACTAATATCATTTTGCATACTAATATTGACTCTAGACATAATTTAAAATAAAGAATGTCCACAATTTTGTTTACTGTGTTTGGAATTTTATTCTAACCCAAATAAATTTGCCCCCGTTTACACAAATTTTAAAACTTAAATGTAAGGTCTCCAGACTACATTTGAATTACCTTTAATTTTTCCTTTGATATTTCAAATATGACGTTTAATTATTTTTTTACAGAATCACTGTATCTTTGGCTAAGAAGAAAAATTACATCTGTATACCAAGTATTTTTTTTCGAAATGTTACTGGCCATATTACATAAATGAAATCAAGCACATTTTTAAAGGTTACAGAATGAAACTAATGAAAACATTCTTTTTAGAATTATAACGAAATGAGAAAAGCACATCTTTTGAAGCTAGGTTAAACAACGAAAAAAAGTACATCCGTTTCCTTTTTGTCCAAATTCAGTTTTCCCACTCTTAAATGTCTTGTCACAAATAATAAAAAATATCTAATAACATCTTTCACCCAATATTTTTTTTCATCAAGAGTTGACATTCAGAAAACTACCTAAAATGATCTCCTCTTTTTGAGTATGAAATATAGTGGAGTTTTGTTTCATGATCATTTGTTCAACATGTACAATTTAACTGAATTTGGACATTTTTTTTAATTTCCTAGCTTACAGATATTTAAAAACAAAATATGGTTTTTATATAGTTTACCTATACCTAATGATTGAAAATTTTAAATTAAGAAATACCATTAATGTGCATGTATGATATATAAAATCTTTACAGAAATGTATTTTTCACAGTCTACAGGAAAGGAAATCATCTAACTCTCACCTTTCAAAACGCTGTCATACTTGTCATCTGTATCTTTCAAATGCTCTTCATCAGAATTATAAGGAATGACTTTTGTTCCATCTTTTGGTTTGATTCGCACTTTTAAAAAATGAAAGCATTTTCAGGAGACTTAAAACAAACACATTGTCGAGACAGACTTATATACATTTTTTTTACTACATTAGCAAATCAACACGCTGCATTGTTGTCAAAATTCAGTAAAGGTTTGCCAATCTTACATTTTCTTGTCAAAAATAAAAAGCAATATTTTCAGCGCTTTTGATATGAAAAAGGAGAATCTTATTTTAAAGAATAAAGTTATATTAACCTACAGAGGAAATTTTAACATTAAATATAAAAATATAACAGAAACTCTAAAAACAAGATGTTTTTGTGAAACATTGATGCCCCCGTATGGCAACTTTTAACGAAGGCTAACCTTCTCAAATGCAATTCATATATGTTGGTACCCAAAAGGTCTTGTCACGAGGAATATGCCTGTGAAATATGAAAGTCCTAGCTGCAGCCATTGAAAAAATATGGAAAAGCATAAAGTTTTTCAAAAGTAAGTCAAACATCAAGGTCAAGTTCAAATGGTTAAAATTAATGATGTCCAAGGAAAGGCCTTCTCACAAGAAAAACACATGTGAAATATGAAAGCCCCAGCACCAACCGTTCAAAAGATATGGCCAAGGTTAAAGTTTTTCAAAATTAGCTCTATTCCAAGGTCAAAGGGTGGAAGTTATTGGTATCCAAAGGAAGGACTTCTCACAAGAAAAAACACATATGAAATATGAAAACCCTAGCATCAACCGTTCAAAAGTTATGGCCAAGGTTAAAGTTTTTCATAAGTAGGTCAAACTCCTAGGTCAAGGTCAAAGGGTCAAACTTGTTCGTATCCAAAGGAAGGACTTGTCACAAAGAGACACATGTGAAGATTGATAGCCCTAACGCCAACTGTTCAAAAGTTATGGCAAAGGAAAAAATTTGGTAAAATTTTGTAAAACTGGTTCACACTCCAAGATCAAGTTCAAATGGTCAAATATGATGGTGCTCAAAGAAAGGTTTTGTCATAGATCACAAGGAATACACATGTGAAATATGAAAGCGGTAGCTCCAATCAATCAAAAGTTATGAGCAATGTTAAAGTTTTTGCGGACAAACAGATAAACAGACAAACAGCTAGACGGACGGACAGGGTAAAAACTATATACCTCCGAATCTGCGATACGGGTGCATAAAAACTCGCTTCACCAACTGACTGTATGAATTAATATAGAAGACTGTATCTTTGTTGGACAAATTTAATTCAAGCCAATATATTTCATGAATTCTTAGCACAAAACTAAAAAAAATGAAAATAACTGTATTAAAAAGTAGTTGCCATAATAGCGCTAATGAAATGAGTATTTGTAATATCTCATTCTCACAAAAAGTACAGTGAATTACGTTTCGAGTTGTTATAATTTCTTAAATATTAGAAAAATATGTATTTTCTGTTTTCTACAAATGCATAGAATTAAAACTTTTAGTACAGTTTATGGAAATCAAAATTTCCATCTCTTATGAACTACTTTATCATCATATCTGTTTACTCTTAATACAGCAGCTGTAAGAAAACAAATCATCAACGATGCCATGATTTTTTTATTATAACAATTTCAAAATTCTGTGAAGTTGATAGTCATCGTTAAAGTGATTTACGTTACAGTGGTGTATGTTACATTTGATTAATACTTTATTGTATCGATGGCCGAATTTCTACTTTGGATTAATATGTTAATTAATGGCATCTTTCATCATTTTGTTTTACATTAAGAGTTGACAAATAGGAAACTACCGAAAATGTTCTCTCTAATATTTGATATCAATAATAATTGACCTTTTTCATGGTCATAAGCACAACTTAACTGAATTTGGGCTTATATACATGTACCAGTATGTATAAATGACTATGTTTCAACAAGGTAAGCTATATCACTGTTATGGTGTACTGCTATCATAAGTAACTATTGAAAGTAAAGTGATGTGTCGTTCCTCGACACCAATACACACTACTATATCTACTTATTAAAAAAAGACTAATGTATTTTGACACAAATACATGTACATGAAATAAGTATCCTACAACTTTAAGTTTACATTATATATTTTTTTTAAATACGTGTACTTACTCAACGAAAATGATGCCCGAATCACCAACGCAATGAGAAACAATTTGTAAATCCACATAATCAAATCTGATAGACTTATAATTCGAGAGTTAATTTTGATGAGATGATGCAAGATATTGAGCTTAAATATATATACGACAGTAAAAGAAAAGTTGTTTACAGGCACGCACAGATGGTAATGATTTGGAAATAATGTAAAATTTGTTTCATTGTCTTCTATAAAGGTCTTTTCAAAAATTTAATAGGTTTATGACTGAACGTGCCTTTGAAGTAAATGCTATGCTTTTATATGCACATTTTATTGTTTTTATTCCTTTTGATCCTATGCATGAATTTTCCAGAACAGACAACAGATTCGTACTTTATGTCGTACGTTTTGATCAATATCGGTTTTGTTTTTGCTGTTTATCGGATATATCCTAGGTCGCCCGCGTTGCACAGTAAAAATCCCCGATGACGGGGTTGTTCCTACTTTCGTATATAAACGAAGTCCAGTAGGTGTCTCAGTCGATGTCGGCACGAAAAACAGCACCCACTGCTCAGTGTCTATAATTATCAGGCATAGGTATGAATTTTCAGGCCATGGTGTTGTCCGAATATGAGTAAGAAATTCTCAATTGGACAAAAAGAATCAATTATAATAAATCAAACTAAACACTGAAGAATTCAGCTGGAACACAATGTTAAAACGGAAATTGAAAGATACTAAGTTGAGATATATTGATTTTTTTTGTTGTTGCCCAAAATAGGTAATGTGATCATTAGAAATATGAAAAAAGATCAGAAACATAACAATGTATAAGACTGCTTCATAAGCTAATAAATGACACTATGCAAACTCTCCTATTAATACGATTTAGAGCAGTAACGAATATCGTACTTGAATGGCACAACGTTTGCCAAATTCAGTTTGGGAATTCAAATTTTGTATCATTTTTATTTTTCAAGTGTCATCTCTTTGCTGTATACTTTATGCATTTTATATTTCTTGCATGTATTGTTTATCTGTAAATTTTAGGGATCAGCGTATTGTTGTCTACTGTGGAATAGCTTTTAGTCTGATCCCCTATCATGTTATGTTAAACTTTTTATTTTTAATTATTTTTGTAATATTAATAAACGATCATGACATATTTCACTCCACAATTGGTGTTGATTTCATTGATTACCCAAATGTTTTATGTGTTTTGAAATATAATGCAATAAGTGACGACCTCAGTACTAAGACTAAATAGAGTAAATGTATATTAATGTAAATGTATACATTCCCACTCAATGGAAAGAATGGAAATATTATTTAGTTATTATCAATGGATATTCAAAAGAGATTTGTTTAAGCAAGCATATCAATTGATAAGCATGAAAGCATCTAATAAGCAATATCTCAGACAGCAATATGCTAAATATTATTAATAGCTGTAAAATATTATATTTCCAAGTTTAAAAAATGTAAAAGGACCTCAAAATAAAATAAGATAAGATACGGAAGACTATGTATAAAATTGTTGTCGATAAAGCACCTCGAAATTTACTATAGTAACCACAGAACACAATTGTTTATTGAACAAAAATTTGTTTGTACTTTAATTCAGTCAACATTTATCATAATAATTAGATCATTAGTAAAAAATATCAAAGTTAGCATTGGATTGTAGACATGATTGCAACTGTTACGCCAATGAAAGTACCTTTTATATACGACAGTGAAGTCGTCGTTTGAATATTGTTAATCTCAACCAATTTATATAACGATTTATTACATTTTCAACAGTGAAATACTGTGATTTATTTATTGAAAAAAGTGATATTCTCTCACAGTGTGAAAGGATACCAAAGTGATATTCTCTCACAATGTGAAAGGATATCAAAGTAAGTAAAAATAATTTCTGGCCTGTCATAAGATAGAGATAGTAATAAATTCTTGATAGAAACTAAAACTGCCAATTTCTTCACAAATATGTTGCTGAAATCCATTTTAATATGTTTTCAATCACAAATCCTAAGCTATGACGTCTCAGCCGCTCAACGGTGACGTCATAGCCCATGATACTTTGTTCAGGAAAGACAGAGGTAAAGGGAAAATCAATGAAAATGTAATAAACAGAAAATTCAATGTTTTGTAGTTGGATATGTAATTTATTTCACTCGTGAAACATAAAAAAAACTTGTCCCACTCGTGAAATAAATTCCATATCCAACTTCAAAACATTGAATATCCTCTATTTATCAATCTGTCAGTAACAACACTGTTAAGTACCTTTATCGGTTTGTTTGTTTGTTTGTATGTTGTTTAACGTCCCTCTCGAGAATTTTTCACTCATATGGAGACGCCACCACTTGCCGGTGGAGAGCTGCTCTCCACGTCCCACAGTGGGATTTGAACCCGCGACGTAAGGATCAACTCCTTACTTCGCGACTCTAGAGCAGACGCTCTAACCACTGCGCCACGCGGGCTTATTGGTTTGTAAAATCCCCTTTATCATATACAGTTATAGTAAGAATTATCCTCTATGTGCCCTTTAAAAAAGTGTAATTCCTCATGCATACAAAAAGTCTTCTTTTTTTGGAGGAACACAATAATTTAAGGTCATCTTGATAAAAACGATACTACCTGTATTTGATGTTCATTATCTTATATTTCATTAACTTGAAACTTTACTGCAACAATGATTTTGCAATGCAGTTCTTTTGTTTTCATTAGTTTACATTTTCTCCGGTATTTTAAATCGATGTCAAAGGATGAAGAGCCTACCATCGATATTGTATCATTAAAATTAACCTCGATTACTTTTTCTTTTCGAGATTTAAAATGGATCTTCATTGGAAGGTATGGGTTTTAATAGATCCTTTTATTTTTTCATACTTTAAACTGACTGTGTATTGAAAAAAAGACATTTTAATGCAATGTAAAAAATCAGAAAAATCTCTTTTTATGCATGATGATTAACTTAAGAAAACTTCCATACACAATAGTATAGACACTTATAGTCACCCCTTCTCCTTGAAAAAAATAAAAATATCATGTGATCACAATTTAGGATATGCGACATGACACAGAAATCCATGACGTCACTGGAAAAGCTCTTCCGGCCATATCTGTTTTCTCTTCCTCCATAAAATTCTTGACGGATCATCTGTTTCAAACCCTTGGAGACAGAGGGCACCCGATGGAAACAAGCCAGATATTATTTGTTCTAACAGTTCCCGCCATTTGGACAGAATCCGCAAAGCAGTTCATGAGGGAAGCCGCTGTACAGGTTCAAAATCAAAATTTACATAGATTGTCAAAAAGATTAAGTGAAATGAAAATTTTTAAGCCATATCAAGTTCTTTTTTTCTAATATTATTCTATAAAGTCTTTAAAGTAATAAAAAAGATATAGATTTATGAAGGGAATGGCAAACCTGAAAATTTTGAACATCTTAGAGGTTTCTTAAAATTTCAGGAATTAGACATTTACATCATTTACAACCAAACAAGTCCCAAAAATTTATACCAATTTTATGAGTCATATGTTTGATTGTAGCAAATGTCCTTAAACTTTGTTCTGAATCAAAAAGTTTAATAATTTTGTTAAATAAATGTGCATTTAATATTGGCAGTGTTTTAAAAATGGCACACTCCGGATACTAAATAACTTTTAATCGGGACAAAGAAAACAATTTCTTTTTACTGGTTGACATTTATTCGTATATTTAAACCCTCAAAGTGTTAATATATTTGCTACACAGTAGCGTATCAGTTTATTTCTTATTTCAAAATGCACATTTAATAATTTTTTTGTTAGGATATATCGTTTAAATTGACACGGACATCTCACTGCTTAAACGGAAATGTTTTAAATTATGACCAGAGGATGGTTTTATATTTATTCATCAGCCTTTTCCTTATTTTACTTGGGGTGTGGAAAACAATTTTAATCATAATATCAGACTTCTGCAATGATTTACAGGCTGGTATACACACAAATCAGTTAGTGTTAGCACTTGAACCTGAAGCAGCGTCTCTGTATTGTCAAAGGGTTCCCAGTCAGTTCATGTCATGCGGCACAGATGACAGAATTAACAGTCCTGGGACCCAATATCTCGTGGCTGACATTGGAGGTAAGAAATTCCCACTTCAATTTTCATGAATATAAGTATATTCAAAGTATAACACATGACACTGAAATGTTGAAGATCTATCATGGTCATATTGAAAAAAAAAACAACGCTTTACAAATTTTCATTTTTTTTTAAACAGTTTTTTTTTTATTTAAAATAAATAAATGTTGTCGATCAAATTTAGGATGTTTAATTTGAACAGGACCTCTAAATTTCAATTAATTTTAAATTCTTAAAAATCGCATTCCCTGAAAAATATGATCTCAAGCAAGGTTTTTAAACATTTAACCAAAAATCATGTAATTCATTTTTGGAATATGCTTTAAAAAGGTTTTTATCTCAAGCGTAACAGAAAAACTGAAAACAGAAATAATGAAAATGTAAACGAAAAGCAAACGAAAGGGGGGGGGGTTCACTTGAAAATGCCTTGAAAGTCAAAACTCACTTTCCTCCAGTATTTTAAAAGACATTTCTTTCTGAATGAAATTTTCTCACTAACTTAAGGTGGCACAGCGGATTTCAGTGTACACGAAGTAAATGAAGATGGTACTTTAACAGAAGTCCATATGGCAACTGGAGGACCTTACGCCGGAACAAACGTGGATGAGGAGTATATTAAACTTTATAATAAAATTTTTGGATGGAAGACCATGCAAAAATTAAAGGCAATGGATATGGAGGAATACTTATCAATATCAAGAAACTTTGAAACAAAGAAGCGGCTGGTATGTGAAGAATACTCTGAGAGTTTCAACGTAAAATTAGCTGCAGCGTTATTTAAAAGGGTTAAGGCTAAACCTAGAAAAATGAAGAAAAGTATTGCCGAATCTGGAATGAAAGATCTTATATCTATAGATGGAGATAAAATAAAGTTTTCGCCCTCTGCAATTAAGAGATTGTTTTGCACTCCAATCGATGGGATAATCAGCCATCTTCAAAATTTGCTTCAAGAGCACGAGAAGGTGAAAAGTATTCTGCTTGTTGGAGGTTTCAGTGAATCAAAGCTTCTACAGGAAGAGATCAAAAAAGCAATGGCCGATAAAACTTTTGTTATTCCAAATGAATGTGGGCTTGCTGTCCTAAAAGGGGCTGTCTTATATGGACACAGCCCCTTATCAATTACGTCACGAATAATGAAATACACATATGGTGTTGCATCTGACTCAATCTTCAAAGAAGGAATACATCCCAAGGCAAGGAAATATAAAGATGAAAATGGCGAATTTAGATGTAAAAGATCCTTTAGCATATTGATATCAAAAGGAACAAAGGTTTCTGCCACTGGAGTTAAAATAATTAGAACTTCAGAACCTGTCACCACAACACAAATGATGATAGCAGAGAGAGTCTACTACACAGACAACGAAAATCCAATTGTTGTTGATGAAAAATGTAAGCTTCTGAAAGGATATAAGTTATCTCTTCCAGAAAATAATGGAAAGCCACGTATTGTTAAAAGCACGTTTACATTCGGGCTTACTGAAATGAAATATTGTTCAGAGGTAATTGAAACCGGAGTTCAAAAAGTAGGAACTCTGGATTTATTGTGACTCTACCGCACTTAGTGAGTGTTCTTTTATTTTGATTTCCAAAATTGAATTCATGTGTTTTTGTGAAGCAAATTTGCTGTATTTTGCCATATACGAGGATTATTGCAGTATATAGAAAATGTAGAATTTTCTTTTTTACCTTTTGTAATCAATGACTCTGTCATCAAATAGAAATTTCACAACCTAGTACACATGAATGCATTGCTAATTGTTTAATACAGTTTTATTTCTATTGCAAATTACACATCATGAATTTATATTTTATTATGGGTGATGCAGAGACATGTAATAAATGTTGAGTAATAACCAGTGCATTATAAACATGACATATACAGTCCAATTTTATTCACATAATTTGACGGGCAATAAACAACAAAAAGAAAACAAAAAAAAAATTAGTTTTTCTTTTAAAATGTTACGGTTTTTAAATGATGGCCTTTATAAATGACGTCCTATTGAGATGGACAACGTCTAGATATTGTAATTTTTTACTTGTCTCGATTGTTATCTTCTAAATTTTTATCAGAATTTAACTTTTTAGATACGTTAAGGATTCGGGTTTTTTTTTTATAGGATAAATGTGATAACTTCGACTCTTCAATCGTCAACTTCCCTTATTTATGTAGCAATAAACCCTTATCACCTGCATATGGGGTTTATGTCTCTCAGTTGATTCGATACGCAAGAGCATGCTCTACGTATGAACATTTTTCTAAAATGAGGCAAACTTTTGACAAACAAGTTGATGAAACAAGGATATCAACAGTCTTGTTTGAGTGTCATCATTTTGCAAGTTTTACGGTCAATACAATGACCTTGTCAGCACATACAACCTATTATTGAGTCAAATGCTGACTGATTTTTTCATACTTATTGTAGGCCATTACTTATACACTGAACTGTCTACGGATTTTTCCAGGCTTTTTTTCCAGATCATGACAAGGAGCACACGGCTGGTGTGATCGGTCGGCATGGGATGCTCACTCCTCCATGGGACCTGATCCCACCTCTATATTTTTAGGTCCGTGTTTGCTCTGCTCCAGATTTGTATCGTTTTATTGGACTTTCGAGAATGAACACTGTTCGTTATCTTCATATTCCATTTTAACCCAAGATTGGGATTGTAAGTTACTGCTTCAAAATGAGGGTATAGTTATCTCTTTTGATAAATTAATTTGATTGATGGCCATTTTTAGCACATTTTTATGTAATTTTGTGACAATTTCAAATGTATGAGAATTTTTCACTGGTTTATTTTGTCGGTAAAATTTGTACCTATTAAAAATTAAATGTATGGTGGCATTTTTCTGCCCCCTACGTGAAAAAAAAATTGTCAACATGCGTGAAAAGTACGTCATCATGCAAGATGATTATGTCCACATTGCAAAATAATTATGTTGACATGCAAGCTACTAATCTTTTTAGAGAATTTGATTTTAATGTTGGTAAATTTACTTTGTAACGCCAGAATATGACATCATACTTGCAAGATGCAACATAATTATATTATCATGCGCTTATTATTATCAACGTGCCAGATATATGTAATTAAGTCGACGTGCAACATACTTATGACATGCCATTCATTCATACATGTATCAACATTCGAGTATATGTTTACGTGCAAGTTATTTATGTCAACCTGCATGATAATCAGTTGCATGTCAACAAACATATCCTGCATGTTGAATAATTTACTGGCATCGCATGTCAACATAATTATCTAGTATGCTGACATAAATAAATCGTATTTCCAAATAATCATCTGACATGTTCACATAAATAAGGTGCATGCGTACTAATTATTTCGTACGTTGACATAAATAAGTCAAATGTCTATATGATTATGTTGCATCTCGGACAAATGATGTCTGATACTGGCGTAAATAAGTTTTGTTTGTTTGTTTGTTTGTATGTTGTTTAACGTCCCTCTCGAGAATTTTTCACTCATATGGAGACACCATCACTTGCCGGTGGAGAGATGCAAATTTTGTCCAATACTCGGCACTTACTGCCATTGAGCAGTGAGGGATCTTTTTCGTGCCAGCACCTACTGCGACACGGGACCTCGGTTTATACGGTCTCATCCGAAGGACCGGTCTCCACGTCCCACAGTGGGATTCGAACCCGCGACGTAAGGATCAACTCCTTACGCCGCGACTCTGGAGCAGACGCTCTAACAACTGCGCCACGCGGGCGACGGCGTAAATAAGTAAATTTACCAATGTTAAAATCAAACTCCCTAAAACGATTGGTAACTTGCATGTCGATATAATTATTTTGCATGTAGACATAATTAATCTTGCATGTAGGGGGCAGATATATGCCACCATATAAATGAACACATTCCAAAGAAATTGATTAAGGCGGGTTTGGCGGTTAGTTCAAAGATATCATACATTTTGGGACATCCAGCATGCAATTTGAAAAATCTCATCCTTATTTAAGCTTACTCCAAACCAGAGTTAATGATTTGAGGGAAAAATGAATCTACACCACTTGGGGAATGTTTGCGAATTAATGGTCCTATTGTGGTTTTTAAGAAATTTTGTTTTTTATAGTCAAATTTTAGATTTTAAACTTTGATTCCCGTTTGAGGCTCTACTTGCCCTCATGGACACTGATTTAAACAACCTTATCAACATCAATATGATTAATTATGATTTTGCTGTTCTTGAGAAAATTATTTTAAACAAGAGGCCAAAGGGCCTTAACGGTCACCTGAGTATAATACAACAATTTAGAAGTTAAATACACTGATAGATGAAGCATTGTTGCCCTACCCCCCCCCCCCCCACTCCTCAAGAACCCAAAAAACTGAGGCCATATATTTAAAAATTTTGGAAGAGGCATCCTTGTCTATCATAATCATGCACTTAGTTTGTTTAAATAATCTCCAGTAGCAGAGAAGAAGTTTTTCAAAGAACCAATGCATTTTCACTATATAATCAATAGAGCCCCGCCCTAACACCAGAACCCCTGACCCTGGGGCCATGAAATTCACAATTTTTGAAAAGGCATCCCTATGCGTTTAAATAGTCTCCAGTAGCAGAGAAGAAGATTTTCAAAGAATCAATGCATTTTCACTATATAATCAATACAGCCCCACCCTAACACCAGAACCCCTGACCCTGGGGCCATGAAATTCACAATTTTTGAAAAGGCATCCGTATGCATCATAACCATGCACTTAGTTTGTTTAAATAATACCCAGGAGCAGAGAAGAAGATTTTCAAAAAATTAAAGCATTTTCACTATATAATCAATAGAGCCCCGCCCTAACATCAGAACCCCTGACCCAGGGGCCATGGCTTTCACAATTTTGGAAGAGGCACTCTTGCTCATCATAACTATGTACTTAGTTACTTTATTAAATACCCAGGAGCAAAGAAGAAGATTTTCAAAGAATTAATGCTTTTTCACTATATAATTTATAGAGCCCCGCCCTAACACCAGAACCCCTGACCCTGGGGCCATGAAATTCACAATTTTGGAAGAGGCACTCTTGCTCATCATAACTATGTACTTAGTTCCTTTATTTAATACCCAGGAGCAGAGAAGAAGATTTTCAAAGAATTAATGCATTTTCACTATATAATCAATACAGCCCCGCCCTAACACCAGAACCCCTGACCCTGGGACCATGAATTTCACAATTTTGGAAGAGGCACTCTTGCTCATCATAACTATGTACTTAGTAACTTTATTTGATACCCAGGAGCAGAGAAGAAGATTTTCAAAGAATTTATGCACTTTCACTATATGATCTATATAGCCCCACCCTGGGGCCAGAACCCCTGACCCTGGGGCCATGAATTTCACAATTTTGGTAGAGGGCTCAATGCTTATTACAATGATGCCAACAGTTTGACTGCTTCATGTCCGGGAGTAAAGAAGAAGATTTTTAAAGATTGCATTATTTTTGGTGGTTTTAGCCCCACCCCTCAGGCCCCGGGGGGGCAGGGACCATGAAATTCACAATTTTTGTTCCCCTTCACCCATAGATGCTATATACCAAATTTGGTTTAAATTGGTTGAGCGGTTCTAGAGAAGAAGTTAAAAATGTTCAAAAGTTAACGCACGACGGACGACGCACGACGCACGACGACGGACGAAAACAGATAGCAATAGGTCACCTGAGTGACTCAGGTGACCTAAAAACTATTTTCCTGTATATTCTTATGTACAAATTTGATCTCCTATTGTAGTCAAGGCCAACCACGGAGTCGTGTTTTGAACAAACTTTAATCTACACTTTGTAATAAAGCTTTCACATTTTTAACTTCTTTTCTGGCTAAGGTTTCTTGAGATTTAATTTTCAAAATATGCCCCAAATTTTAACTTATTCTGACTTATTGTCCCTTGAAAGAAGACAATGCCCTTTATTTCAATAAAAACTGAATCCACCTTAGATAGATATACAATGTGGCACATTTGTTCAAATTGTCTTAGTGGTTCTGGAGATGAAGTCAAAATCCTGAAAAGTTTACAAAAAGCATACAATACACGATACACGACAGAGAGACAGATAAACGAATGCCGGACATTTTCCGTCCAGAAAAAGTCATTTGAGCTCCAGGTGAGCTGCAAAAGTGTCATGTAGTTGATATGAAATTTATTGTACTTGTGAGACAAGATTTTTTTTTTATTTATTTGTGCTTTGCACTCAAGAAAATAAAAAAAAAAAAAAACCCTGTCCACCTTGCCCCGTGAAATCCTTTCATTTTCTGCAATCCATATAAATTGCATTTTATCAAAGAAAACTGAGGAAAAAATACTTTGAAATTCTAAATCGTCATTTAATTGATATATTTGATACTCTAGAGAATCATTTACATAGATATAAAAACAGATAGTATTGTTTCATGTTATATATGCAAAAAATTTTAAATTTTCCTTCTATATAAGCAAGCATCAAATTTGAAGTGATACAGCTAAATTTGAATGATACATTCTGAATAGTGCTTATTTTGAGAGTTACAGTATGTTTAAATATCAAATATTATACATGGGTAACAACTAATATTAATCAATCAACTAATATTAATAAATTTATGATTATGATATAGAGAAAAAAGTGTGGTGTGAACTGTGGTTAAAGTGGTTCTAATTTGTGAACTGTTGTATTTACGGGTTTTTTTGTTTTTTTAATGGTACTTTCTCAAATAACCTACATAAAAGAAACTTTTTTCATTTTCCCTGATCAAAGCAACAGTGTATAAAAATTGACAACAACTGATTAAACTCAGGTGGCTAAAGCATAATTTTGCAATGATTTTGGTATTCGATTGTACTTCAGACGAATAAACTGTTTTACGTATTTCAATTTCTTTGCTAATTTTCTAACGTAACCCCGTCGCGCTCTCGGTTGAATCCTCCAATCCACTCGATGTGGCGCTGGATTCGGATGCCGTGTCCTGCTTTCTCAGCAAACTTTCCAACATGTTGCAGGTAGACGTTACTGGCGAAAAGCACTCTAGGTTCGCAGAAGCATCTGTTGGATTAGGCAAGAAGTTCGTATTTAATAGAGATTCATTTTCGTTTTGTTTGTTCTCAAACAGATCGAGCAAAATGTTGCATTGCTCTGTCGACAATTCCAAAATTCCTTCCTCATCACTGACAGCAGAATCTGCTTTGTCATTCTTGAATGTGTACGGAAATGAAACAGAATCATTATGCGCGTTAGATCTTTCTGCGATTAAATTGTCAGAATGAGTTGGAGGAGAGTTTTGTTCTTCTTTTCTCTGTTTTTTCAGATGCTGAAACTGGTTAGTGAATCCATCTTCTAATATACTGTCATTACTTTGTGCAGAAGAGTGTCCTCCGTCAGACATTTTCTTATTGAGATGCTGTCGTAAGTTTAACTTAGTAGGTAGCATAAGCTTTTGTTTGTTTTTGGTCAGCAAAGAGCCATCTGTGGTTCTCTTACAAGGGGATATTGAGATATTTGGTGTTTGCTCAAGAATTTTCGGAATGAATTGTTTTACGTGATCCTCTACTATAGCATCAATTTCGGATAAACGTTTCTTGGGCGTTTTCTTCTTTTTGAAGCTAGAGTAGTTCAACTCCTCTGACAATCCATAAAGGTTTAATTTTAATTCCAGATGCTAAAAGAAAACATAACTATACATTTTATTTCATAAGTAATTCTTACAAATATAATGTTTACAAAAATAATACTTAATTATAAAAAATAAAACGAAGCGGGTTACTTGTTTTTCCGATAAAAGATTACATATCGGAGAAACAGAAAACTGCTTTGTGCTAGTGTACATGTCCAGAAACAGCACATAAACTACCCGGATTATCGGTTAAAAATAGAGCCAAGAAGTTCACTTTTGCACCATCTAAAGGGTCGATGATGTAATGGCGCGATGACGGTAAAGCGAGGAGCGCTGACGAAGACGCAACAGTTCAATAACCCAAGAACCATGATACAATGACACGACAATGCGATGACAATGATGCTATTGCACGATTGAGCGCTTCATCGTCATCTAATCATTGCGGCATCTTCATCGCACCAACGTGTCATCGCTATCGCTCTATCGCTTCATCGTGCAATCGCATCATCGTCATCGCACGATCGCATCATCGTCATCGCACGATCGCTTCATCGTCATCGCATTATCGACCCAAACCTCGTTGGTGCGATGATGGGATAAGGAACTGCATGACCCTATCATGATTCCATAGTTAAACCTTAAGTTAACAGGATCTTTGTGAAAAAACTATTTAACATATTTCCTTTTTTATAAACTTACAAATGTAGAAAATGGGAAGTTACAGCCGAATTAAGACATGTTTGGTTTCTTCTCCAGTAGCCGGGGCGAATGACCAAATTACGGGAAATATATTGCAACATGAAATGTGTATAGTGTCTTGATAGGACCATATGCAGTACCTTTGAATTTTTTTTAATCTGCTACAACAGTCGGGAAAAATCATTTACTAGTAAATCATTTTGTAGTTAGTTTCCTTACAAGTTTTTAGCTCACCTTAACGAAAAATGGTGAGCTGATGTGGAACCTCGACTTACAAAGATACTATAATCAGCGAATGCCGTTGTGCTGATGCAATTTAACACACAGGGCCGTCGCGCTAACAAAAAGAAGGCCATCACAATAACACAAAACACGCGCTCAAAATTATTGCAACTTTAATCTTTACGTCAAGCCGACAAACAAAGAATTGTGTATAGTTGCGTTAGCGTGATAGCGTGCTTTGTGTTAGCTTTGTGTCACTTTGTAAATGTTTTGTTTCGTTTTTTGTATTAAATGTTACTAGAATCGAGGATGTAAAATTGTAGTTGTTAATATATTTTGTATTATGATCAATATTTCGGTAGTTCAGAGAAGTGACTGCCTAGGAATGTACACTGTAGTGTGATATTTTACGGGAAACCTTGACCTGCCCGCGGAATAAATGTAAGTGCCTCCTTACCAAAAATCTGATGAGCAATTTTTGATATTTGGAATTCATTGTCTTTTGGTGTTCTTTCACTTTCTGCAAAGTGCGTTTTTCTCTTATTAATTCCTTCATATATTCCACAGATGCTTTCAAAATTGATCCTTTGTTCTGTTTAAGATGGCTGCAAATAAATGCAATTCCTTAATTCTATTCATTCGTTGTCCTGACGACAACATTCCACTTTCACTTTGCTTATGTATGATTAGCATATTTTTTTTCGACAGAAACACTCACTTTAAATGACCAAATGACAAGCATAATTAATCGAGATATAAAACATGCTACAACATAAAAAAACATACATTATACCAAATCTAAATAACTTGGAAAAGAAATCTAAGCAAGCCATATAATGCAATTCAGAGAGTTTTCTTCAAAAGAAAATATAGTGTCTGACATTGAAAAAAAAATTGTTATATTAAGAAAAAGCTTACTGAGGCACACTTGCTGGAAGGAGAGCTGCCAATTCTTTAATTCTGTCGTTAATGTTGTATCGACGCCGTCGTTCAACTGAAAGGTGTTTGTTAAACGATATAATTCTAAAAGTGCATATTCTGGTTTGAAAGCAATCTTTAAAAAATGGTTTTACCGTTTGAAATCATATTTTTAAAAATAGGTAGAATTTATTTAATTTATATGATTTTGAATTCGAAGAGTAAATGTACATGTTGTTTGAATTTTATTGCTTAAGGAAGTGATTGCAAGGCGTCATGTGATCGACCCTTGTGATGTTTAAAAAAAAGAAAGTTTACGGTAACCATTTCCGGAATAAGGGGCGTGATATGATTGCGCCAATGATAGAAAGTCCTTGTGGCAATATTTCATGACCAGAGAAAGAATAGGACGTGACGCTGCAGAGTGTTGGGGAGTGTCGACGCAGATTTTTTTTTTTTCCATCTACGTGTTTTGTTTTTGACACGTCTAGCTTTTGTGTACATAAAATTCTGAACATTGAAATCTATTTCATTAATAAATTGAATTTATATCCGGATCTTTATGTCCTCTTGTTTTAATTAATTAAAATATTAGAATTTACTATTGGATCTACATCAACGTATATATTCATTTTCTAGAAACTTCAGACGGCATAATTTTCTCAGTAATTAATGAAAATGGATGAACAGATGAACGAATGCGATTTTGATACACAGTATATATACGTTATAGACTAGTTTGAGGTTGCATGCTGGACATGAACGTCATTTTTCTTAAGGATATCCGATCCTCAGCCAGGAAGGATAACTCTTTAATTTATTATTTAATTCAAAAAGTCTCAGAATGAAGCTTAAATATGAATTCTTTTCATGCAACAATTTTCATTTTATGCATCTCAATGTGATTCAAGGTTCTTTGAAGTTTTAGAAACAGTTTTTTAAAACGTTGATATTTTTACCCTATAGAGGTATGTTAAATATACAGATTCAAAGAAATCGACTTTCTTTTAATTTAGCCTTAGATACTAATACGTTCTATTTCCATTAATGAACTCTTCAAAATTAGAGGCGCGTTTTGTCATATGACTGGGACAGCATGGCTTGCGGATAATACAAAACATGCCAATCTCAATCCAATTTTAAATGTTAAATGTATTTGTCATTCCAATTAAAGAATAGAAGAACTAAAAGACATATGTACATGTAAGAAAGCGAGAACCCTAAATCTATCATCCATTAATAAAAAATACGACATTTCCGAGGCATATGTATTGTATTTAGAGGTACCATGCAATGAATAGATACATACGATCAACAATAGATATAAGTTGATATTGTTGTCATTCCTACTCTTGATGTATATAAGGTTCACAACAATAAAATATTTCATTTGCATTTTCTTAGGATTTGTTCATCGACAATCAACATATTGTTTACATGATTATGTTACGTTTGTCCCAGAAATCCCGCGAGATTTGTACATTTTCCGACTTTTTCACAAAAGAGCGCACTAAGTATAATTCTTCCATAGTGGAAATAGAACGTATTAGCATGCTATGAAATTAGGAATGATTTATGGTGTTTTGCAATGATAGGAAACACTTTATAAACTATGCATTATCAATTATTCAATGCCTGATTTTCAGAACCTGAGGATCGGACTACCTTAATATTGCAGTGGAAATTTGTTTTCCTCTGTAAAATCTTCTCGAGCATTTTCAACACTTACATCGGCCATGTAAACATTGAATCATCGGTACATATTGTGTAAACATTTTGTTGTAAAATGTTTTATGCGTCGTATTTTGTCAAAAATTGAAACTGAACACACTTCTTCTGACAGAAAAGAAAAGTTTCTTTTAAAAAGTTTTCACAAATCTAGCAAAAAATAATTTTTAAAATAATAATTTTTGAAAATTCACCAGGACATGAACAAAGATGCTTCACGCCGGCATATTTAATGAAGCACATAAGCGCGAAGCGACGCAAATTTATGTCATTCAACAATTAGGCCTATTTTTGAAACTAAAGTTTCTAGTTTTGACGTCAAGTGTGGAATTATGACGTCACAATGGAGATATTCTTGCTCCCTCATGTACTCATGTACCTAGTTCATGAGAAAATGTTTCGAAGAATATGAAGGAAAAATATTAGCAAATGTAAATATTCACTAGCAAATCACTATTTTTTGCCAAATAAGATATTAGGATTTTTATATATTTATTGCAGATACAAGTTCTATGAAATTACCCCTATTTATTCAATATGTTCAGACAGGTGTCAACCAACCAACCCCCCCCCCCATTCCAGGTCACAGTGCAGAGACCTCGATGTTTGTTCAGCGCATGAACAATTTAACCCTTGGACTGCTGTTTACTGGTTTAGAATATATATATTTATATTGAGGTAATAACGGAATGAATGTTTTGGAGATGGGAAAATAAAAAAAAAAAAAAAATGTGCATGTTGTTATTTTTTGGAGTACTTGATTTTATTTTTTTACTTTTGTTATTCTGATTTACATATAAAATGAGCAACAAACGCAAGATTTTCAGAAAAAAAAGTATTTATTAATCTATACATATTGTTTTTTCTTTAGTCTTTTAACAGACTATACATATTTAAGGTTCAGTAGCAAACCATCATACGAAAATTTATAAAATCTAATAATATTTTTAGGAAGGGGGGGGGGGTATTGAAATGCATGTAGCTTCAAAATGAACCTGATGACCTTACTTCATATTTTAACCATAAATCATTTATAATAATTTGTACAAAATATAATAGTTTTTGGAAAATTCATTGGGTAATTTTTTTGTCAAGACTTTGAGAACTGCTCTTGAGGTTAAAATATTACTGCAAATTTACAAGGAATACTCCCCAAAGCAGCGGTGGCATTACTACATATATCAATAATTTCCGATACAATTTTTATTTTCATTGAATATAAAGCATATTATTTAATATCCAGTGGATTTTTTTTAATTTTGTTTCAATTTTGATACCTCTATGGGATATATAAAATTTCACCTCATAAATATCAAAATATTGAAAAACTGCGGTTACCATGGCAACCATATCATCCTTATAACCCTGATGACCATGGTTGAAATTTTCATATTATGATACCATTAACGTAAGGCAAATGATATATAAAAATGAGAAAAATTTATTGAGCGGATTTTTTTCACGGACCCTTGCAATCGCTTCCTTAAACATTATAAAAGGGGCATTTGAAAAGTTCTCAGAATAGTTAGATAATTAGACTGTTTTACGAAGGTTAATAATTTTGATATCATTGAAGAGTGCAAAAATTCATTTACATGTATTGTGACGTCACTTTATATATTTTGTGACGTAATATCTCGAAAAAGGACGCAAGGATCCATTTGTTAACGAGGCCCAATATAGTTGGAAGTTAATCGGACCGGCAAATATTTTTGAATATTGGATATTCGAGGGTTGATTCAAAAGTTTGTGGAATTTTCTTGTGTTTCATTTATTTATGAAAGGAAGTAATTGAAAATTACAACTAAAAATATATGCTCTTGTTGAATTTTCTTAATAGAACATATTATAAAAATTCATGATATTAACGCTTAGGCAGTTGCCATAGAAACGGATGCTTGAAAATGCGAGGGAGACATATATTCGTTCATTATCAATTCAATTCTTAGTACTCATTGCGAGTTAAAAACATGCTTAGTGTCATATAAAACGAAATTATGTCAACATTATGATTGCCTGAACTCTTCTACATCTTTGTGTGAAAGTTTTATCATTTTACTGGATATATAGTAATTTCGATTGATGATTTGTTGTTCATCATGACATTGTAATACAAGGTCGGAATTCGGTCAGGTAATAAGTTTTATGAAAATCTCCTAAACACTCCGACTTAGGCGCATATACTTTTGATACAGGCAAGAAAAAGTGTAGTAAGCAACTGCTTTTTCAAGTGGCGTCAGAATTTTAAGGAAAATAGAACTTCCAATGAGGATTATGAAAAGACTGTTCGCCTATTGGAAGGTTGTTTTTTTTTTCCTCATAGACAAATTGAGAGCGTTAATGGAAGTGGACCGCCGACGTACTGTGATGGGCATTACCACTTAAATCGGAATATCATATGGAACGACGAAGCATATTTTGAAATATGGTCGTAATATGAAGAAAGTGGGTGTGGGATGAGAACCCACACTTTTCTCGAAAGCAGAAATCGAGAAAAGCAGTGTTTCGAAGAATTTCTAAGTCGATTTGAACATAAGGGTGAAATGCTCCTAGTACGTGGCGTGACATACGTAACTTGGCGTTACGTCAACGTCTTCACTACTGGACGAAAAAAGTGCTGAGAATCCCAAATTTTACTGATAATGTTTGATAATTACTGATATAGTGCTGTTCTTGCTGATAAATACTTATATTTTCTGTTATTATTACTGTCGTTGCTGATAATTTTAGTTGTTTCTGATAAATACTGATAATTACTGTCGTCTTTACTGTTGAGTCTGATAAATACTGATAAATACTGTTGATGTGCTGTCGATGCTGAGATTTACTGATAATTACTGTGGTCATTGTTTTTAATCTGGGAAAGGACTAAAATTGCCTAAGAAATGATTAATTATTTTAAAGAAAGTATTTTATCAACAAATTCATTACAGTATTCTAACAAAAAAAAATTATTCTAGAAAAAAAGTCACATTTTATTTGTTTTCATATTTCATGTATTGATTTTATTATAATCATTTTTACATCAAAATGTTAAAATCAGATCATGAATGTTTGTGTTTTTCTTTACCTTTATATTTCTCCTTTCACAAAGTTTTCAATATCTGCGGAAAATAATAATTGTGTTGTTATTGCAGTGGTTTTTCTTCCCAAGTGCTTTTTAAAACAAGTTTTTATTTTTAAAGGTTAAAAAAATTCCCATCTCATATTTTTTCCACGTGTATTTGTATTGTCATCAAAAGCTTTTAGAGGGCATCTTTAATATAGTCAATGGTTGTTATTGTCAATTTATTTTTTCGTGTGGAGAACTGAACATGTATGAGCTCTATAAGTTGAGACCCCCCCCCC